ATCCAGCAAAAAACTCTCTATTCTACCACTTACTGATCATACAGTACTTACTGATCTCAGGAAGCTTCTCCATCTCCTTACTGATTGATTCCTGAAGCTGAGTCAGAGCTCTCCTCAGAGTCTCCCCCCTCAGATGAGTGTTAATCCTGACGTCAGTCCAGTTCTTGGTGTGTGGACGGCTGCAGAGGGACGGGTAAACCTACAGTCCAGCAGGAGAGAGGAGAAACCCCTCAGCATGGGGAGTGCTGTCCTGTGATGGACTGCATTACTATTGAGAAACAGAGGGACTCTGACCTGTAGGAGGTGGAGGTGGTCCTCAGTGTGGGAGAGCTGCTCCAGCTCAGTGTCTCTCCTCTTTAGCTCAGTGATTTCCTGCTCCAGCTCTTTAATGAACTCTTCAGCCTGCCTCTCTGCTGCTTTCTGCTTCTCCTCCATCACCTCAAGCAGCTCCGCCTGGCTTCTCTCAATGCAGCGCAGCAGAGCTCTGAAGACCTCCTCACTGTCCGCTTTCTCCTTCTCTGTGCTTTTCTAATGGGGGACAAATCAAAATGTTTTCCATGAATTTGATTGATAAGTTCAGTGGTTACCAACCCGGTCCTGAGGGCCCCACAAATGGTCCACGTTTTTGTTCCAACCTAACTAGTAACATATGGGGATCAAGGAAAAATGTGGACCGGCTGGGGGGTCCCCAGGACTGGGTTGGGAACCATTGGATTAACTGGCTACAGTTAAGGTCATCATGCAGACTCACTTTATTGAGGTTTACAGAGTGTTTGATTTCCTCAATCTTCTTCAGTCGGTCCTGGATCATCTGCTGAACTTCTACCTGTGTCTTCACCAGCTGAGTCTGTGGAAACATGTTATAACAAAATACTTATCATAGGAAATAATGAGATGCTATTGATAACTATTTGTCTAAACGTCTCTCACCTTCTTCTCTCCACTCTCCTCCTCTATAGGAACAGTGCTGTGAGTCTTGTGGTCTGTCTCAGTGCAGAACTGACAGACATACATTTGGTCGTCTCTACAGAACAGCTCCAGGGGTCTCTCATGTTTCTGGCAGATGTAGTCCTCCAGGTTCTCCACAGGGTCCATCAGTTTGTGTTTCTTGAGTTTAGCTACAGTTTTATGAGGCATCAGATGAGTCTCACAGTAAGATACTCCACAGTCCAGACAGGACTTTACAGCCTCCAGCTTCTCCTCACTGCAGGAGTCACACAGAACCTTTGTAGCTTTGGAGGGTCGTTTCTCTGGAGCTCTGCTGGATTTCACCTGAACTGACTCCTTGAACTGAGCAGCCAGTCCAGAGATGAACGTGTTCACGCGTAGCTCAGGCCTTCTGGACAATTCCTCTTTACAAACTGGACACTGGCAGCATGAACTGCTGTCCCAGTACTCTTTGAGACAGACCATGCAGAAGTTGTGTCCACATGGAGTAGAGACTGGATCAGTGAACACATCCAGACAGATGCAGCACAGGAGCTGATCTTCAGACAGGAGACTGCTGGAGGAAGCCATGACTGATGGAGGAGACCATGAGAGTGATTTGAGACCACAGAAGGTTCCATGTTTTTGTGATACTTCATCAATAAAATCAATCAATAAAAAAAAACCTTGAATCAATCACATTTGCCTGACTACTCCTTAAAACCTGCTCTTTATTCATTTGAAATCGACTTTTAAATGAAAGAGCATTTTGAACATCTGAATAATAAGAATAAATCTTACAATGTGGCAAAAATGTGCAGCACAACAAAGAAGTGATCTGACTAGGAACTTTAAGACTCACCTTTCTGGCGACTGTTCCCTGCTTCCTTTAGAGCTTCCCTCACTTCAGGTCCTCTAAGAGCGTCTGGAGAACTTCAAACTGCAGACTGTGTTCAGAAAAACTGAAGAAGCTTCAAGCTGGACGTCGAGTTCAGGTGAAAATAACTGCCGTCTGTGTTTGAACCAGGTTTGCACTTTACTTTCGTTTCTCCACAGTGACATCACGAAAGCACGCCCAGCATTTCATGAAGACAGGTGAAGCCTTGGCCTCCGGGTAGAAGACTTTTTTTCACATTTACAAAAATATGACTCATTCAAACATGTGAGGACAGATCGAAGGTGAAGTGCTGTGTGTAATGTACTGCCTTACTTAAACTGTTCTGCAATACATTATTCTTCAAAGCTTTGCTGGTTTTGTGGTGAATATGCTGGGTTTTGAATTCAGATAAACTAAGTACGTGTTTTTTGTTTGTAAATGAAAGCTTGATAATTACAGTGACAGATCCATTATTGCTCAGACAGTAGGGATGTTCACCACCTGAGGGCAGTAGGGGGATCTCTTTGGAGGACACTGTATGTATACATAGATTATGTTTTTTTTTATAATTTTTTTGTTGTTTTGTTATTATATTTTATTTTTATGTTGTTTTTTTTTGTTTTTTTTTAGTTTAACCAGGCTGCAAACTTCGATAAAGGAGTTTAACCTGGCCATGAGTTTAATCAGACTGTGAGCCGGGCACTTTTCACCAGAGTAGTGAAGTTTGATGAGGCTGTGACCCAGGAGACTTTTCACTTCAGTAGGTGAGGCAGTACACCGAGACATTTTTCACCATGTTGTGGAGTTTAACTAGGTTGTAAACTCGGACACTTTTCACTGTGGTACCAGGCTTTAATTAGATGGTATACCAGAAAACTTTTCACTAAAGTAGCTGAGTTTAATCAGACTGTATACCGAGACATTTGTCACCATGGTAATGGAGTTTAACTAGGCCATAAACCGGGACATTTTTCACCACAGTAGCAGAGTCTGACTCGGTCATGAGTCAGGGCACTTTTTGCAATGATATCCGAATGTGACTAGGCCTTGCCCATGAGCCAGGGCACTTTGGACCACCTCACTGGAATTTGAGTGGGCCACGAGCTGGGACGCTTCGTAGCAGTGTAGTTTCACCTGGTGGCAAGCCAGGTAACTATTCATGGCGGTCAGGGGAGTTTTTCTCCCTGCCTATATAAATCAAACATTCATCCTCTTCTTCTTTTTCTTTTTCTTCTTCTTCTTCTTCTTCTTATTATTAGGGGTCCAAGCACTGTAAGTGGTATGGAATCCTACTGGAATTGCTCAGAGAGTGAAAATAATGATTTAAAAAAATCATATCCATGACCTTACTTACAGGAACTACGTGACCTGTTTAGTATGCTTGAAAAAGATTGATATTCAAACTGATATTAAAACCAGTCATTTGGATGATTTTGCAGATTTAACATAAGCCTTTGTTTATGGTTATCACAGCTGCGTACATTGAATTTATGGAGGACCAGGTTTGCCAAATTGAAAAATAAATAAAATAAAAAAAATAAAGGGCTCAGTAAATGAATCAATAAATAAAAAAAACCTAAATAAAGTATATATTGCTTATTGTGATTGTAATTATACACATATTTCCTTTTTCTGCAGTTATACATTTCTCAATTTATTTATTTCTCTATTATTTATTTTGTTTTATTAATGCCGTTTTTACATTTTGTCCTTATCTATATTTTTAACAATTGTTCACTTTATTCGTTGATTTATGTATTCATTTATTGATTTATTTTTTCATTAATTCATTTATTTATTTATTTATTCATTAATTAGTTTATTTATTTCTGTATTTCATCGTTCATATGATAATGAGGGGGCGTGTTTTTCACATTCAGGCTTAGCAATGAAGACCAGGAGAAGAAGAGCTAATTAAACTGCTCTTTCACTCCATAAAGAGCTGCAGTGTCACGAACAGACACACCTGCTGATATATAACGCTTGATGGCTCCACAGGCAGCATGTGAGAAAGGCATCCAAATGTCTGGGTGATCTGAAATTTGCAGAAAAAGACGCTGAACCACCTCCTCCAAAGTTCTGAACACTACTGGTCGACCTCTGTATCAGCAGAGGCAGTAAAATGGACCAAACTGTCCCCACAGCCTCCAACAGAAGTGTCAATAATCCGGACCTGCGTTTTCAGCCAGATCAGCCGAGAGTCTCAGATCTCTGACTGTCTGCTGCTGTGAGCAGCCGTTACTGTACTGTCTGGTCCTTAGTTACCGCTGAGAGAGCAAGACATGTACAATCGATCTCCAGAATCTGACATCGATCAACCAATAGGAATATTAAGACGCTATGACATCATTGACTGACAGCCCCTTTATTAGCATAAGGGCAAGGAAATACAGAAATAAATAGAGAAATAAATAAATATAGAAATTAAATAGTTATGGAAATAAATTAATAAAATAAATTACAAAATTGACAAAAAATAGTGAGAAGGGGAAATTACTAAATAGACATATAAATAAATGCAGACATTAATTTATGTATGATTTTATTATTAATATATTGTTTTGTATATTTATTTTTAGATTTACCATCATTATTCTTCGCAATTCTACTTCATATATTAATTTACTAAGTCATTTATTTTTTATTTTATTAATTTTTCATTTTGGCAAATCTGGTCCTCCATATGAATTTACATTCAATAAAAAACACTCAGTTTAAAAAAATAATAATAGGAAACATTTTTAAATAGATACTTTTCCTTATTACTTTAACTACATTAAGATCATGTACTTTTATGCCTCAACCATACATGAACCTCAACTTTTACCAGGGTTGTTTTTTAAACACACATTCTTAAAAGAACCCTTAGCAGGATTAAATGGTTCTTTGCATGGTGAAATATTTTCCAACAATCCGAAGAACTGTGTTTTCTATGGTTCTTTATAGGACCTTTTTGAAAATTGTTCTGTCTAGCACCAAAAGGTTTATTTTATTGTTATGATGTCAAGCTGATAACAATAACAGAACCCTTTTTGGTGCTAGACAGAACAATTTTCAAAAAGACTCCTTATAGAATCATATACAGCACATTCGTCACTTGAGAACCATTTAATCATGCAATATAGAACAATTTTCTTTTGGAAGAACCACTTTGTACTTGCACTTTTGTGTAAGTAAGGGACTTGTGTACTTCTGCCACTTCTGGGATAAGGTTTAGACTGTGTTACGTAATGCGGACTATGCCTCTGCATAGCTCAACTTGTTGGCTGAATCTCCACCTTAAACGGTAACTGGATACTCAGAGTGAACAAGGAAGAGCCACACAAACGCTGGCACTGCCGTAAAGAGAGAGAGAGAGAGAGAGAGAGAGAGAGAGAGAGAGAGGCAGAGAGCAAACATAAAAGAAGATTTCCTTTACACTCAGGTGAGCAGAAATCCTGATTGTCACTCCGTGCTGTAGGTTTTATGATTAATCTGAAACGATGAGTATCTTTAACTAAATATATCCAGCTTTAAGAAGTTTAATAAGTATGTACAACTTTCAGAGAGGAAACACTGAGACTGTTGCATGCAGTGCTGGGTTGACGTCACAATATGTAAAACTATCTACAGTGTATTTTCTGTATATATGATATGAGAAGAAAAGTCCACTGGTCACTCTCAGTACACTCACGGGTCTCAATACGCAGAGCACAGTTAATCATTTCTCAACGGTGTGCAAAAAAGTGACGATTTACTTGTGGCGATGGCACATTTTCTTCATCTTATTCAATGTTTTTTCTATTCAGCTTGTGCTCAAACTTACACGAACCACCACATTTAAAAACAGGAATGCATTAAAGGGGAATTCCACTTTTCTACATTTCTGCATTAGTAAATGGCTCCGGATGTAAACGGTCATTCAGATTTATGTGAAATGCTCCATTCTAGAAGAACCTTACCAAGTCAGAGTTGAGCAAAAAAAAACATACATCAACCATTCCACTTTTTTTTTGATTATTAGTTTTCTATTTTGTTGTGTACAATTTTTTACATTTAAAAGCCAAACTATGCTTTTGTTTTAGTGAACCACACACACACACTTTCTAAACCGCATGTCCTTCTGGGTCGCAGGGGGTGCTGGAGCCTATCTCAGCACTCATTGGGCAGAAGGCAGGATACACCCTGGACAGGTCGCCAGGCCATCACAGTGTTTTAGTGATCCTTCTATTTTAAACACAGGGCGTCAAACAATGTCATACCAGGTTGTATGCAGAGAAACAGATGGACTACAGTCTGTAACTGTAGAACTACAAAGTGCACCTATATAGTAAGTGGAGCTGATAAAATGGACAATGAGCGTAGAAACAAGGAGGTGGACTTAATGTTATGGCTGATCGGTGTAAATGTTAGTGGAAAAATACTATATAAGGGACATTTGTTTATCAACAACAATATACAAAGACAAATTGTTCATACCTTTGGCAATTCACACCAATTGACACCTTGCCAGGAAGTTCCACCACTCATTTAAATGAATCCCCTCAGATGAGTAATAATAACCTAATCGAAATAATAACCTAATGGAAAGTGTTTGCCTTCAGTGTTTTGTGCTTATGATCATTTTAATAGACATCAGCGTCACTAATTAATGGCTCTATTAAAAGACTGGTTTACCAAGAGAGACACTGGAGTATTTTCACCTAAAATGAGTTCATGAAGCAGAGTCTTGTTACAGTAATGATAACAGGACATCAGAGTCATAATTAATCTTTTAGTACTTTCACTTTTGATACTTAAGTACATTTGAAGGCAAATACTTTTGTACCTTTACTGAAGTGGAGGTCTAAAGGGAGGAACTTCTACTTTTACTGGAGTAATATTTTACCTTGGGTATCTCTACTTTAACTCAAGTACATGATTTGTGTACTTCGTCCACCACAGCGGACCGGACCAGAGCTCTCTGGAAGCGAACCCCAGACCACCGATTTCAGGAGGACCAGAGATCCGTTCTCCGAACTGTGAAAAAGCGTTCATACTCGACCAAACATACCAAACTCACAGAGCAAGTGGTCCTGGGTTCAGAAACAAGCTCTAGTGTGAAAACGCCCTAAGACTGTTGCTCAATACTGTAAACACCTTAAATCAGGGGTGTGAACCTCAGTCAGGCGTTTACCTCCTCTAATTCTCTGAACTCATCTCACACAGACCTCGCTAATAAGCTGAAGAGTTGAATCAGGTGAGTTAAGTGAGGGAAAATGCTTAACTCTGTATTTCTGTGACCCACCAGGACTGGAGTCTGGGGCTGCACCCATTAGTATGATCACAATAAGCTCTCATTATTTTTATCAGTGCTTTATGTAAATGAGTCTCTGAGCTTCTCACAAGAAACACTGGAGGACAATCAAGATGAAAGAAGCTGCATTCAGGTTCATTTCTTTTGGGTGACGTAATGAGAGCATTCCCACCATTTTCCAATACATTGTTTTAGCTCATTATCCATTGTTTGACTTTTAAAAATTGATAAATGCATGTTAATATCAATGAATTTTCAAAATGTTTGGAATGCAACTAAATGTTCTCACAAAAAAGTGGCTACATCTGAGATAATACTGGTTTATCAGTATCTGCAGTTTGAAGGTTGATGTTCAACTTTAAATCAGGTACAAACACAGTTCCAGAAAAGTTGGGACGGTGAGTGAAATACTAATTAAAACAGAAAGCAGTGATTATTAAATTATGTTTGATCTGTATTAGATTGAAAATGGTACAAAAGCACAATGTTTGATGTTTTAGCTTCTGAACTTTATTGTTTGTTGTAAATATAAACTCATTCTAAAAATAACTGGTATCTAGCAGTCCTAAACTAAAGAAGCAAAACCTGGACACATAACATAACTTGGCTGATCGACTATATTTGTGTTTAGAAGAAAATCATGTAAATTTAATTATTTGTAAAACTAGTCCTTAAGTGAGAAGCTCAACCAGCCGGTAGACGTTCATAATTTCTGATCTGAGGGCAAATCTGGAAAACAAAGCTATAAAAAGTTGTTCAGTGTGATCTGAATAGCAGAATTAACCCCCAGTATTTTCAGTAGAAGTGTTTCACTGTGTGCACATTAAAGGGATGCAGAGCCACAGAGTTTACAGTGTAATCAGGAAGGCTTTGAGACGACACAGACGAGACTGGCAGCTCAGTTAAATAATCTTTTTTAAATTATATAATAAAAGAATAATTTGAGGCTCCTTTAACACAAAGTAGCCATTTAAAGCTACTGATTCATTTATTTATTATATTCTTATTTGTTCATTCATTCATTAATACCATAAACTGTGTTAAGATTTGTTTAATAAAATATGCTTTAATTCATGCTCAGAAATGTCAGAGTACAAAGTTTCTTCTGACTGTAAAGTGTTTTACTGTAGAGAAGAGCCTCATTTATCATGATCTACAGGTGTGATGATCAGCGGTGCTGAGTTTTTACCTTTACCATTATCACCAGGGCTGAAATATGGATAGAGTGTCTCAGTGAAAGACTGACCAGTGAAAGAGTAGATATGAGACCTGGCCTCAACATCATAAAAGGAGACCAGACCCTCCTCATAATCCACAAACACCCCCACCTTCTGGGGAGCCTGTTTCAAGGAGAGGGGGACAGAGGGAGAGTCCAGAGCCTCATATTCAGACTCGTTTCTCAGCCACACAGTCCAGTATCCATCCTCAGGACTCAGTGTTATATTACCCTTTCTCTTACTGGACTCTCTGGTCACTCCTAAATCCCACTCAGTCTTCCCGCTGACCTGAACCTCATAGTAAAATCTCCCTGAGGAGAACCCCTCCTATCCCAGAACACAGTCACCTTCATGAAACCTCTCTGGGTTGTCAGGGAGATTCTGCTCTGTGTCTCCATGTGTAACTTGTTTCCCATCATCAGACAGAATAAAAGCAGGATGAGGTGTATCAGGATCCAGAGTCACATCAACTGAGAGAGAAAACAATAAACTATAATATACTGCATATAATAACAAACAAACACATGTATTTATGTGATCAGTGAGAGTTCACACACCTGCATACTGTCGAACTGCTTTTAGTTCTGTTTGGAAAAGAACAATAAACATTTTTATTATTTTTATTATCATTATAATATTTTTCCATTTTTGTTGAATACATGTTTGATATGAACAAAATTAAACATAAATGAACTAAACTGACATTAAATTCTTCATATAAACTAAATTAAAGCTCTGTAACATTCACACTGAATGATGCCAGTATAGTGACAGGAATGCATTGGCATGTATAATATCTAATAATATATAACTTATCAAACATGGATTCTATCATCATCATTTTGAAGATCATTGAAGAATTCTTGAAATGACATTTTTATCACAAGACTTGGCAAACATGCAAATACTCACCAATCTCCACAACCTTCTCCATCTCCTTACTGAATGATTCCTGAAGCTGAGTCAGAGCTCTCCTCAGAGTCTCCACCCTCAGATGAGTGTTAATCCTGACGGCAGTCCAGTTCTTGGTGAGTGGACGGCTGCAGAGGGACGGGTAAACCTACAGTCCAGCAGGAGAGAGGAGAAACCCCTCAGCATGGGGAGTGCTGTCCTGTGATGGACTGCATTACTATTGAGAAACAGAGGGACTCTGACCTGTAGGAGGTGGAGGTGGTCCTCAGTGTGGGAGAGCTGCTCCAGCTCAGTGTCTCTCCTCTTTAGCTCAGTGATTTCCTGCTCCAGCTCTTTAATGAACTCTTCAGCCTGCCTCTCTGCTGCTTTCTGCTTCTCCTCCATTACCTTAAGCAGCTCCGCCTGGCTTCTCTCAATGCAGCGCAGCAGAGCTCTGAAGACCTCCTCACTGTCTGCTTTCTCCTTCTCTGTGCTTTTCTAACAGGAGCCATTTAACAAGAGAAAATTCATTTCTTTTCCCTTTTTTTTTTGTAAATAAATTTCATTCTGGAAAGTGTATTTAAATGGAATGAAAGTAGTGACTACAATGCAGGTCACTGTTTACACTCACTTTACTGAGTTTTACAGAGTGTTTGATTTCCTCAATCTTCTTCAGTCGGTCCTGGATCATCTGCTGAACTTCTACCTGTGTCTTCACCAGCTGAGTCTGTGGAAATTAGACACATTATAATAAAAGTCAATTACTAATTTAAAGAAATGAGATGGATACGTCTCTAAATGTCTCTCACCTTCTTCTCTCCACTCTCCTCCTCTATAGGAACAGTGCTGTGAGTCTTGTGGTCTCCTTCAGTGCAGAACTGACACACACTCGTCTGGTCGTCTCTACAGAACAGCTCCAGGGGTCTCTCATGTTTCTGGCAGATGTAGTCCTCCAGGTTCTCCACAGGGTCCATCAGTTTGTGCTTTCTTGTGTTTAGCTGCAGTTTTATGAGGCATCAGATGAGTCTCGCAGTAAGAGACTCCACAGTCCAGACAGGACTTTACAGCCTCCAGCTTCTCCTCACTGCAGTAATCACACAGAACCTGTTTACGTTTCAAGGGTCGTTTCTCTGGAGCTCTGCTGGATTTCTCCTGAACTGACTGCTTGAACTGAGCAGCCAGTCCAGAGATGAACGTGTTCACAGATAGTTCAGGTCTTCTGGAGAATTCTGTCTTACAAACTGGACACTGGCAGCGTGAACTGCTGTCCCAGTACTCTTTGAGACAGACCATGCAGAAGTTGTGTCCACATGGAGTAGAGACTGGATCAGTGAACACATCCAGACAGATAGAGCACAGGAGCTGATCTTCAGACAGGAGACTGCTGGAGGAAGCCATGACTGATGGAGGAGACCATGAGAGTGATTTGAGACCACAGAAGGTTCCATGTTTTTGTGATACTTCATCAATAAAATCAATCAATAAAAAAAACCTTGAATCAATCACATTTGCCTGACTATTCTTTAAAACCTGCTCTTTATTCATTTGAAATCAACTTTTAAATGAAAGAGCATTTTGAACACCTGAATAATAAGAATAAATCTTACAATGTGGCAAAAATGTGCAGCACAACAAAGAAGTGATCTGACTAGGAACTTTGAGACTCACCTTTCTGGCGACTGTTCCCTGCTTCCTTTAGAGCTTCCCTCACTTCAGGTCCTCTAAGAGCGTCTGGAGAACTTCAAACTGCAGACTGTGTTCAGAAAAACTGAAGAAGCTTCAAGCTGGACGTCGAGTTCAGGTGAAAATAACTGCCGTCTGTGTTTGAACCAGGTTTGCACTTTACCTTCGTTTCTCCACAGTGACATCACGAAAGCACGCCCAGCATTTCATGAAGACAGGTGAAGCCTTGGCCTCCGGGTAGAAGACTTTTTTTCACATTTACAAAAATATGACTCATTCAAACATGTGAGGACAGATCGAAGGTGAAGTGCTGTGTATAATGTACTGCCTTACTTAAACTGTTCTGCAATACATTATTCTTCAAAGCTTTGCTGGTTTTGTGGTGAATATGCTGGGTTTTGAATTCAGATAAACTAAGTACATGTTTTTGGTTTGTAAATGAAAGCTTGATAATTACAGTGACAGATCCATTATTGCTCAGACAGTAGGGATGTTCACCACCTGAGGGCAGTAGGGGGATCTCTTTGGAGGACACTGTATGTATACATAGATTATGTTTTTTTTTATAATTTTTTTGTTGTTTTGTTATTATATTTTATTTTTATGTTGTTTTTTTTTGTTTTTTTTTAGTTTAACCAGGCTGCAAACTTCGATAAAGGAGTTTAACCTGGCCGTGAGTTTAATCAGACTGTGAGCCGGGCACTTTTCACCAGAGTAGTGAAGTTTGATGAGGCTGTGACCCAGGAGACTTTTCACTTCAGTAGGTGAGGCAGTACACCGAGACATTTTTCACCATGTTGTGGAGTTTAACTAGGTTGTAAACTCGGACACTTTTCACTGTGGTACCAGGCTTTAATTAGATGGTATACCAGAAAACTTTTCACTAAAGTAGCTGAGTTTAATCAGACTGTATACCGAGACATTTGTCACCATGGTAATGGAGTTTAACTAGGCCATAAACCGGGACATTTTTCACCACAGTAGCAGAGTCTGACTCGGTCATGAGTCAGGGCACTTTTCGCAATGATATCCGAATGTGACTAGGCCTTGCCCATGAGCCAGGGCACTTTGGACCACCTCACTGGAATTTGAGTGGGCCACGAGCTGGGACGCTTCGTAGCAGTGTAGTTTCACCTGGTGGCAAGCCAGGTAACTATTCATGGCGGTCAGGGGAGTTTTTCTCCCTGCCTATATAAATCAAACATTCATCCTCTTCTTCTTTTTCTTTTTCTTCTTCTTCTTCTTCTTATTATTATTAGGGGTCCAAGCACTGTAAGTGGTATGGAATCCTACTGGAATTGCTCAGAGAGTGAAAATAATGATTTAAAAAAATCATATCCATGACCTTACTTACAGGAACTACGTGACCTGGTTAGAATGCTTGAAAAAGATTGATATTCAAACTGATATTAAAACCAGTCATTTGGATGATTTTGCAGATTTAACATAAGCCTTTGTTTATGGTTATCACAGCTGCGTACATTGAATTTATGGAGGACCAGGTTTGCCAAATTGAAAAATAAATAAAATAAAAAAAATAAAGGGCTCAGTAAATGAATCAATAAATAAAAAAAACCTAAATAAAGTATATATTGCTTATTGTGATTGTAATTATACACATATTTCCTTTTTCTGCAGTTATATATTTCTCAATTTATTTATTTCTCTATTATTTATTTTGTTTTATTAATGCGTTTTTACATTTTGTCCTTATCTATATTTTTAACAGTTGTTCACTTTATTCATTGATTCATGTATTCATTTATTGATTTATTTTTCATTAATTCATTTATTTATTTATTTATTCATTAATTAGTTTATTTATTTCTGTATTTCATCGTTCATATGATAATGAGGGGGCGTGTTTTTCACATTCAGGCTTAGCAATGAAGACCAGGAGAAGAAGAGCTGATTAAACTGCTCTTTCAGTCCATAAAGAGCTGCAGTGTCACGAACAGACACACCTGCTGATATATAACGCTTGATGGCTCCACAGGCAGCATGTAAGAAAGGCATCCAAATGTCTGGATGGTCTGAAATTTGCAGAAAAAGACGCTGAACCACCTCCTCCAAAGTTCTGAACACTACTGGTCGACCTCTGTATCAGCAGAGGCAGTAAAATGGACCAAACTGTCCCCACAGCCTCCAACAGAAGTGTCAATAATCTGGACCTGCGTTTTCAGCCAGATCAGCCGAGTCTCAGATCTCTGACTGTCTGCTGCTGTAAACAGCCACTACTGTACTGTCTGGTCCTTAGTTACCGCTGAGAGAGCAAGACATGAACAATCGATCTCCAGAATCTGACATCGATCAACCAATAGGAATATTAAGACGCTGTGACATCATTGACTGACAGCCCCTTTATTAGCATAAGGGCAAGGAAATACAGAAATAAATAGAGAAATAAATAAATATAGAAATTAAATAGTTATGGAAATAAATTAATAAAATAAATTACAAAATTGACAAAAAATAGTGAGAAGGGGAAATTACTAAATAGACATATAAATAAATGCAGACATTAATTTATGTATGATTTTATTATTAATATATAATTGTTTTGTATATTTATTTTTAGATTTACCATCATTATTCTTCGCAATTCTACTTCATATATTAATTTACTAAGTCATTTATTTTTTATTTTATTAATTTTTCATTTTGGCAAATCTGGTCCTCCATATGAATTTACATTCAATAAAAAACACTCAGTTTAAAAAAATAATAATAGGAAACATTTTTAAATAGATACTTTTCCTTATTACTTTAACTACATTAAGATCATGTACTTTTATGCCTCAACCATACATGAACCTCAACTTTTACCAGGGTTGTTTTTTAAACACACATTCTTAAAAGAACCCTTAGCAGGATTAAATGGTTCTTTGCATGGTGAAATATTTTCCAACAATCCGAAGAACTGTGTTTTCTATGGTTCTTTATAGAACCTTTTTGAAAATTGTTCTGTCTAGCACCAAAAGGTTTATTTTATTGTTATGATGTCAAGCTGATAACAATAACAGAACCCTTTTTGGTGCTATACAGAACAATTTTCAAAAAGACTCCTTATAGAATCATATACAGCACATTCGTCACTTGAGAACCATTTAAATCATGCAATATAGAACAATTTTCTTTTGGAAGAACCACTTTGTACTTGCACTTTTGTGTAAGTAAGGGACTTGTGTACTTCTGCCACTTCTGGGAATAAGTTTAGACTGTGTTACGTAATGCGGACTATGCCTCTGCATAGCTCAACTTGTTGGCTGAATCTCCACCTTAAACGGTAACCGGATACTCAGAGTGAACAAGGAAGAGCCACACAAATGCTGGCACTGCCGTAAAGAGAGAGAGAGAGAGAGAGAGAGAGCAAACATAAAAGAAGATTTCCTTTACACTCAGGTGAGCAGAAATCCTGATTGTCACTCCGTGCTGTAGGTCTGAAACGATGAGTATCTTTAACTAAATATATCCAGCTTTAAGAAGTTTAATAAGTATGTACAACTTTCAGAGAGGTAACACTGAGACTGTTGCATGCAGTGCTGGGTTGACGTCACAATATGTAAAACTATCTACAGTGTATTGTCTGTATATATGATATGAGAAGAAAAGTCCACTGGTCACTCTCAGTACACTCACGGGTTTTAATACGCAGAGCACAGTTAATCATTTCTCAACGGTGTGCAAAAAAGTGATGATTTACTTGAGACGATGGCACATTTTCTTCATCTTATTCAATGTTTTTTCTATTCAGCTTGTGCTCAAACTTACACGAACCACCACATTTAAAAATAGGAATGCATTAAAGGGGAATGCCACTGATTTTTCTACATTTCTGTTGTTGTGTACAATTTTTTACATTAAAGAGCCAAACTATGCTTTTGTTTTAGTGAAACACACACACACACTTTCTAAACCGCATGTCTGGGTCACAGGGGGTGCTGGAGCCTATCTCAGCACTCATTGGGCAGAAGGCAGGATACACCCTGGACAGGTCGCCAGGCCATCACAGTGTTTTAGTGATCCCTTTAGTGATTTTAAACACAGGGCGTACCAGGTCATACCAGGTTGTATGCAGAGAAACAGATGGACTACAGTCTGTAACTGTAGAACTACAAAGTGCACCTATATAGTAAGTGGAGCTGATAAAATGGACAATGAGTGTAGAAACAAGGAGGTGGACTTAATGTTATGCCTGATCGGTGTATGGGCAGCAGAACAGCAGTAGGGTCAGGGTTATATATTTGACTAAGACTTTGGACTTTGTTCTTAGAAACTGTTTGATTATCCATAATCACAGCTTTTGTCATTTTACTGTTTCTCTTTCCCAGTAATGGATCCTTCCATGAGTGTCCCTTGGGAAGAGGAGTTCAAGTGCTGTATCTGTCTGGATGTGCTCACCGATCCAGTCTCCACTCCATGCGGACATAACTTCTGCATGGCCTGCATTGAACAATGCTGGACAAGCGCTGAGGTCCATCACTGCCCTCTCTGTAAGGAGAAATTCAGCACAAAACCAGAACTGAAGGTCAATACAACTTTCAAAGCAGTGGTGCATCATTTCCAGATGAAAATGGGTGGCAGCAAACCTACTGTCCCCTGTGATGTTTGCTCTGGGCAGAAAATGAAGGCTGTGAAGTCTTGCCTAGATTGTGGAACAACGTTTTGTGAGACCCACCTGGAAAACCACAAGACTGCACCAAGACTCATTAAGCACAAACTGATGGATCCTGTGGAGAACCTGGAGGACTACATCTGCCAGAAACATGAGAGACCCCTGGAGCTGTTCTGTAGAGACGACCAGACGAGTGTGTGTCGGTTCTGCACTGAAGGAGACCACAAGACTCACAGCACTGTTCCTATAGAGGAGGAGAGTGGAGAGAGGAAGGTGAGAAAAGCCCAGTATTAGTTTTGTAGTACTTTTTTCTCTGTTTTCAAAGATATTGCTGACAGAAGTGTCTGTAATGACTCTGTCTTTATAGATGCACCTTAGAAAGAAGCAAGAAGCTGTTCAGCAGATGATAAAGCACAGGCACAAGAAGATCGAGGATATCCGGAGCTCTGTACAGCGCAACAAGGTCTCACTGATGAGTCCAGATGGTTTGAAGAAGACCTACAGCCACAGATTATATGAACATAGCCAATGTCTCTTTCTGTTCTCCACATAGGAAAGCAGTAAGAAAACTAAGGCCCACACCCTGGAGGTCTTCAGATCTTTGATGCACTGCATTGAGAGAAGCCAGGCGGAGCTGCTTGAGGTGATGGAGGAGAAGCAGAAAGCAGCAGAGAGGCAGGCTGAAGAGTTCATTAAAGAGCTGGAGCAGGAAATCACTGAGCTAAAGAGGAGAGACACTGAGCTGGAGCAGCTCTCCCACACTGAGGACCACCTCCACCTCCTACAGGTCAGAGTCCCTCTGTTTCTCCATAGTAATGCAGTCCATCACAGGACAGCACTCCCCATGCTGAGGGGTTTCTCCTCTCTCCTGCTGGACTGTAGGTTTACCCGTCCCTCTGCAGCCGTCCACTCACCAAGAACTGGACTGACGTCAGGATTAACACTCATCTGAGGGTGGAGACTCTGAGGAGAACTCTGTCTCAGCTTCAGGAAGCTCTAAACAAGGAACTAAAACGATTATCTAAGACAAGTAAGTCATGAGTTGTTTGATGACTTAACATTAATTGAGGTAATACAGATAATCATGAGGTCCATTCTTTAGTATAGGTGGAAGCTCAAGGAGATATAGTAACCAACTTTCCAGCCCTTTTCCTTGTAATCATTGGAAGAAACCTTGGCTGTCTTCTACTATATTTACCTACTGTGTTTGAAAATTGTGAAGAATTCCAACCTGTTGGTTTTGCTATTATATTTTTATGAGAGCTTGTTTTCTTTTTTCAGCGTCAAAACCAGCATTGCATAGAAATGCCCCCTCTTCATCCACCACCACATCAACTACTGAACCTGCTGACAGTCTTTTCAGATCCACTGTCAGCGCAACAGCTCCTTCTCCCTTCTCACCAGTTCCCTTCAGTAACTTGTCTGAAGGTGGGTAACTCTTATTTTATTGCTGAACCAGTCTCAGGCTCAGATGCTGCTTCACTCAAATAGGTGTATTGATCATCTGTTACACTCTGATTGGCTATCCACACTTCCATGCACTCTTAAGGAAACCAACTCATTTACTAAGGTGAATGCTAGCTAGTGATCAGTAGCATGTGGTTGCCAGTTATACACACTGGTCGGGTTTCCATTCAAACTTTTTGAAAATGATATGCACATTTACCAAATTCCAGCTTAAAATGTGTGAATTAAGCAGTTCCATCCACTACAGTTATGGGAAGAAACTTTAGATGGTGTAGGCTGCCATAATTGGGGCTGCATCGAAACAAGCAAGATGGAGAGAACTTGGTAGAATTGTCTTTAAAGCCATTTGCCAACTTTTATGGCCATATTGTTTGCAATAGAGCAATGGCCCAGCAAACAAGGGCCGAAATCTCCACGCCACCCTGACGATGTCCACCTTGCATCGGGAAACACAACGATCCAGAAAATTCTGGGAGCCATTTTTCAAATCAGCTTTGAAGTGGGCATTTCAGTAAACTGAAAGCAACCTTCAAAAAGCTGCCCGCCACGATCTGACCATCTGTAGGGCCAATCATTTCTTACTTATGTCACAGTTTATTCAAAAAACTCTTTTCTATCATTCTTACATTTTGGCTTTAGCAATATTCCAACTTTAGTGTAAAACTCTTTTTTTGTGATATTTTTTGTGATTTCTCGAATTTTGTGGGGTTTGTCGTGCATTTTCAAAATTTGAAAAAAAACTGGTGGATGGAAAACACTAGTGTGACAGCAATGAGACTTTTGGGAAAAAAAAAATATGAAGGATTGAACGAGCTGCCTTATTTTAAGGTTTGGTTGGGAGCTGGTAGTAGCAAGTAAATGTGATATTGTGTGCTTTCCAGCAGTCATACCACTTTGTTTCACAAAAGTCTTCGTTTTTGTAGCAGTTTTGACAAAAAAAGTAAACTACTGTGGTCTGTAGTTTATCATGTTGCATGTGGGTCAAAAAGCCCCTTCCAGCTACAGTAGGCAGCTCTTGGCCCCACTGGGGGATGAAACCCACCAGACTCCAGCGAAAGTCAGAGGTCAGGCTTGCAAAAGTAGTGCTGAGCAGACATACAGTGGGGTTTGTGACTGAGTGTGCCATTTTGTACCTATCATAATAGATTGTTCAGAACAAGACAACATTGAAGTAGAGAATCTACAGACAATATCAGTTTCATTTGTGGAAGTCAGATGTTTCAAATGATTAACAGTGGTACTACTTCTGCTCCACCATTTCCAGGTCTGGGAAAACTGCAGAAAAAGTATGCAGGTAATGTTATGGCTTATTCACCTCATATTCACGGAAGGCCTAAGTATCAGAGCACTGGATATTGTTTCTGACGAGTTTTAGCTTATGTTTCTCCAAACAACTTAAAACATCTGTCAGTTATATCAGTGAAAATATGTATAAAAAAGTGTAATAATTTATGTTTATGGCATTTGGCAGACGCTCTTATCCAAAGCGACTTACAATTTTACATAGGTAGGCGAAGGTAGTGTTAGGAGTCTTGCCCAAGGACTGTTATTGGTATAGTGCAGGGTGCCTCAGGCAGGGATTGAACCCCAGTCTACAGCGTAGAAAGTCAGATGTGTTACCCACTACATTACACCACACCAAATAATATTATATGCACAATAAGAAACATCATACAAGACACATGTGGCTAAAAAATGCAAAGTCTTTCATGCGTTCCTGCCTTGACACAAACTTTCCGTCTCTGTTTCCCTCTATTGCAGTGAATGTGACTCTGGATCCTAAAACAGCCTACCCTAAACTCGTCCTGTCCGCTGATGGGAAGCGAGTGTGGCACGGGTACGCGTGGCAGAATGTTCCAAATAACCCAGAGAGATTTGACACGTCTGCCTGTGTTTTGGGAAAGGAGGGGTTCTCTTCAGGGAGATTTTACTATGAGGTTCAGGTCACAGGGAAAACCGTGTGGGTTCTAGGAGTGGTCAGAGAGTCCATTAACAGGAAGGGGATGATTTCAGTCAGCCCTGAGAACGGATACTGGACTGTGCACCTGAGGAACGAGACTGAGTTTCTGGCTCTGAGCTCTCCGCCTCTCATCCTCTCATTGAAACAGACTCCTCAAAAGTTGGGGGTGTTTGTGGATTATGAGGAGGGTCTGGTCTCCTTCTATGATGTTGAGGCCAGGTCTGATATCTACTCTTTCACTGGTCAGTCTTTCACTGAGAAACTCTATCCATTCTTCTTCCCTTGCAACAAAGGAGAGAGCTCAAAACCAATAATCATCTCGCCTATCATACCTTGTTGTTAACAATTTAGTTGCAATATTTAAGATGCAGCAAGTGCATTAAAAGAAAAGTAGGTTAAATAACAGATCTAGGAAAATAAAACTGGGTGCAAATAGTATTAAGACAGAGCCTTGTAGCCCACGCACAATAACCCATTGCTACTACAGAAGAACACATTGCATGCCTCTTTTTTTAAATGTTATCCTCTTAGGGCTGCAGGAAAACTCAGAATTAAATAATTATTTGTAATCTTTGAAAAATTTATTTTATCAAGATACATATTACATAACAGTCATATCACACATAGATGACTTTAGGAACAAATTCATGAGTTAAAACTGAAAACAGAAGAGTTTACACACAGCTCAACAAGATTATTTTTTATAGCTCCTAAAACCTGAAATGACATTCAAGCATTTATTTCCATTATGGCCTTAATTTTGCCTTTAAATCATTGTGACCACTATATTGTATCTTTCCAATGTTTTAATTATCTTTTTGTATAAAGCACTTTAAAATGTTGATTATAATGAAGTAAAAAATGCAAAATAAAGAAAATACTACTATAAAATACAACAAAATTTTAATGTTATTTTACAATCATTTCACTATTAATATGCATAACAAGTACATTTACTTTGAAACTGAGGATAACAGAATGTCACATACTGGAGCTAAGCTTGGACCAGACATGTACCTGAGCACCACCTGTTTCAGATGCAGTTATATTTCAAGGGACAAAAACTCAGCTGTGCAGTGGGTTCAACAGTGTCATCCACAGTGGCCAACCTGTACAGTGGGTTCAACAGTGTCATCCACAGTGGCCGACCTGTACAGTGGGTTCAACAGTGTCATCCACAGTGGCCAACCTGTACAGTGGGTTCAACAGTGTCATCCACAGTGGCCGACCAGTACAGTGGGTTCAACAGTGTCATCCACAGTGGCCGACTGGTACAGTGGGTTCAACAGTGTCATCCACAGTGGCCGACCTGTACAGTGGGTTCAACAGTGTCATCCACAGTGGCCAACCTGTACATGGAGGATGTGGGAAGGAGAGCTCTGATCTCCTTCTTAGGAATAAGACCTAGCCATTGGTTCAGGAACATGAATGGCACCTTGGATGGTTTATCAAGGATGGTAAAACAAACTGGCAAACTGCAATGCGCAATGTTCATAAAAGAAAGTGTAAACTTGTGCTGAAGTCTATGTGAGGTGCCTGGGTTCAAATCCCGGACAAGCCCCCACATTTCACACACCTGGGAAAGGTCTGGGTGGGGAAGCAAGGGCAGTAACTTAGATCACATAGATCTAGATAAGCTATAAATATGAGGATACTGAGCTTGGGAAACAACAAAACATCTGTTTAGTGCATTAGAAGGGACTAAATATCACCTCTGCAATATGTACAAGTAAAGACTAGAAGATATTAGTGTAGACATACTACTGAGCTCCTAGTTCCCTCAACTGTAAGGTGAGATTGATGTAGGAATAATGTTGTTCCAAATCAGTAGCCACCCATTTGAACTGATGAAGCCCCTCAGTCTTTAAGATTATACTGCAGTCTAATCACCTTAATACTGCTAAATAATTCAACAACTAGGAGGACTGAAACTAGCCTTGATAAAACAAGAATTACCGCAAGGGCGACTAAAATTTGGGAGAAAAAGATTGAAACTCCTTCTCAATGGAGAACTCTGATCTCCTACTTAGGGATAAGACCTAGCCACTGGTTCAGGAACATGAATGGCACCTTGGGATGCTTGGGATGAACAACAAGGGTGGAGAAAAACTGACAAACTGCAATGTACAATGTAAAAGAAAGTGTAAACCTTTATGTTGAACTCTATGTGAGGGCTGAGGTTCAAATCCCGGACGAGCCCCCACATTTCACACACCTGGGAAAGGTCCAAGTGGGGAAGCAGGGACAGTAACATGAATCACATAGACATAGATGAGCTATAAATATGAAAATTAAAAAAAATAATAATATACTGAGCTTGGGAAACAATAAAGCAGACTTTAGACATAAATCAGAAGGGACTATCACCCCAGAATTTGCTGTATGTACAAGTAAAGACTAGAAGATATTGATGCAGACATACTGTTGAGCTCCTAGTTGCCTCAACTGAAAGGTGAGGTTGATGTAGAAATAATGTTCCAGATCTGTAGCCACCCATTTCGAACTGATGAAGCCCCTCATCAGTTGAGTGGCAAAACATTATCAAGATTGTACTGCAGTCCAATCACCTTAATACTGCTAGACAATTCAACTATTTGGATGACTGAAACTATCCTTAATCAGACAAAGATTACTCAAGGATCACCGAAGTTAGGGAGAAAAAGAAACTCCTTCTCAAAGGAACTCAACATTATAGCTTCCCATGTGAAATGCCATTATGATTTTCCTCACCATTCCAGCCTACAGCCAGACTGAGGTTTGTTGTTATTGCTACTGTGGGTAGCACTGCCATATCTAGTTGTACTCCTTGGTAAGGCCCATGCAATGTTTCAGTCCGAGTGGCAGCCTTCTCTAGCCTTTCCAGGTACACTTACCTGAACCCTATGCCTAGTGACCATGGTCTTAAGGTCTCACAGCTCCAGAGCCTTTACCACACTTCCTCCTCCAAATCCCCTTCACACTGTGTCCCTGACTAGACCAAAGAAAAGCTTCATAGAGTTCTGAAGAACAGAAGAATCCTTGCTGACTCAAACTCCACCACCCTCCCAGCTATGCTGCCCACCACTCCAGCACTCCTCTGGTCCCTTCTTGCCTGCTTCTCCAGATTTTCCAAGTTACGGATGATGTTTTTTGACACCCTTTCCACCTTCTGTCAGCTCTGTTGTTCTCCATATGATCGACATTAGTGACAACGCCTTCTGACTTTGACCCTTCTAAGGTTTTTACCATCCCTAAATAATTTGCTCTTGTGTTCTCTGACTACACACAAAAGTGTTGCAGCTTCATTGCTTTTCATTGTTTTCAGTCCTAAGTAGACAGCAGTCAAAGCACTTGATTTTGTCCCTAGATTCATGAGGGTTTGATTCTAGCTGATGTCTGCTGCTATTTTCTGCAGCATCTGGGATCTAGGCACAATTAAACTGTGTGTCCTGCATTCTCAATCAGAGTGAAATGTCTTTGATGCAACAGTTTGTGGAACTTTGGCCTAGTGAAAACAGATAAACTGATCAGTTTTATGCATTCTTCAATTCTGCTTCAAACACATCTCCCATGTGAGAGCACCCTGTCACTTATAACCCATGCACTCTCAGGAAAAAAGGTACTAAAACCCTCGCTAGGATAGGACCCTTCAGATCACTGTTGTGGTACCCTCAAGGCTACATCTTCAGTACCTTTGGTTAGGGAACATAATTGTAACATTTTATTGCAATCATCACGTTAAGTTACATGAACTCCACACACCTTGTGCTGGACCTTTATTTTATGGTTCTGTTTGAAAATAATTGGTTATGAAAAGTTACAATTGTGCACTTTTCTCCTGGGAAAACTTGTTTAAAGGCATTAGGATAATTGCTCTACCTTTGAGTACTCTGACGAACAAAAATGTCCCTGTACAGTAGGGGTTGCACAACTTCAGATTTTTGACAGTTATGAAAAGTGAGGCCACATTGATGAATCACTGATTACATCAAGAATAAGACCACAGGAGAAGGGAATGCTTTGCAACAAGCTGCTTTAAAAATCCAACTTTTCTGTGATGAAGCCAATCTCCACAAGGTAGTACAGCATGATGTGCCCTTTCAAATGAGTCCAGGATTGCATTGCTAGCCTTCAAGGAATCGGAGATACGAATCTCAGAATCTCGCAAATTTGTATCTGACTTAGGCGCACCCTAGGTGGGCTTGCCAAGATGCTCGCCTGCAGTGGAGGTCCGAATATCCAGAGCAATTTAGAGTGCCATAACTTGGCAAAAATAAGAGTAACTTACTTCAAACTTGACAGGACGTTATGCCCACTCTCCAGTGATGCATGACTTTTTATTTGGGTCTTTGGGAAACAGACGTTTGGGAAACTGTTCTTCGGGATCGACGTTTAATATCTGGTGTTTGAAGCACTGCAGATTGGCGGATGAATGTCAGAACAAAGCAAAACTTTATAGGTCATGATGTGCCCTTTCCAATGAGCTCCGGATCCCATTACTAGCCTTCAGGAAACCGGAGACACTGATGAAGTCACCAGACTCATCACTTGTCGTCTTCTCCGAGGCTTCCATACTGAAAGTGTCATAATCACGTGATCAGCGACTAGTCGACATCAAGCTTAAAGTGTCCTTGCTGAGCGTTAAAGCCGACAAGTCGACTAGTCTGTGCATCCCCTACTGCACAGTAGCTTGTTTTCTGCCGGGGTGAGTAAAATAACATCTTTCACATCTTTCGAAAAACAAAAGATGCAGGATGACAGGTTCAAGAAGAATGTTAAACTTTTATTGAACAGATCAAACCATTAGAACAAACCTATACAGTTATGAGTGTGTGTTTCCATCCACACGCACGGGTTAAGTGCAGTACGCTTTCGGCAGCGTTTTCATTTACATAAGGAAAAAAAAAAAAAACAAAGAAACAAAGCAAATTAAACAAATTACAGTATCAGTAAAACCGTGAAGTCATTTTTCACAAGGTTTGTGTTCGTACCAAGTGTCCTTTTCGAGTGGATCTAGACCAGTCCACTCAGAGAAAGAGTGCAGTGTCACCATCAGTTTTTGCCCTCTTTCGATCCGGGTAACTAGCTGAAAATGCCTTTTCCGGACTCAGCTATATTCCTTCGTGTTCCTTTGCTCCTTTCTTTCCATCAAAAAAGGGTGTGAAAATACAGACAGCACATCACTAATTCTACTACTGAGTCAAATGTGTGCATATACAGGTACAAAAGAAAAGATACAAGGTATTAACACAGTTCAGATTCTGCTGCAATCAGACCAAACTGTTGTGTACAGAAATAAAATATGTGCAGAATTGTATTACTGTCATATATTAGCATAAACTTCATAGTGAATGTGTAGAGAGAGGCTGGGAGTAGATACAACTGTTGTAACATTTTGGTTTAAGCCAAGAGATTCCGACTGCAGTTTGACTCTTTTGTTGAGGTTGTGCTGAATGGGTGCTCCAATTTGTCTCGGGCCAAATTAACTCGGTTCTTGTTGAACATAGGGTCCATAACAAAGCTGAACAATATATCGTTTGTTACTCATTATTGCAATATTGGCATTTGTAACAGTGATATCCCAGGTGGTTGCTATATTTCTGACCAATTACAGATCGAGATGAGTTTTTTCTGTAAGTAACAGTGGATTATTTTGGTCAAAATAATGTAACCATGTCATATTATCAGTTCACCCATGTGTTTTTAGTACATTGCAAAGCATATGTCAATTGCAATATGCAAGTGTTTTGTTCATATCGCCCAGCCTTAGGCGATACGACGCAGAGTTGTTGATACTTCAGAACAGAAACCACAAAGAAACCTCCTTATTTAAGGGCTCAGTGCACTCAATAGTCATCCTGGGGCCGAAGTCAGAGCTTTAGCGTCTCACAGATGCTCAGTTTTCTACTCCAGCCAGCCTCTACTGTTTGTCCACATTGGATGAGTGGTCCTTAAGCCCCTCTGGACATTGCAGTACAAAACAACCACTACGTGATTAGTGCAAGTGAGATAATATCTTTGTCTAGTTACGATCTCTTAAGCAGAGGAGAGGCCAGTGCTCAGAGGCCTTGTATTTCACCATAACTGGCACCATCCATTCATACGAACCACCCTGACTGAGACACCAGCAACAATTACCACTAACCAAAAGAATAGAAAGTAGTACCGTTATGCACATCATGGAACAGTGCAGCATTTCACACACAGCTCTGTTATTGAGTGAACGTTGTGCGAACGTTGAGTGAACGTTTCGGATACAGTGAGATTATTAAGAGGAGCTTCCAGTAAACATCAGACAAGAAAAGGTGAGAAAATGTAGAAGTGACTGCTTTAACTACGCAGTAACGTGAGAGGCTTTTGGGAAACTGTGCACATTTTGGTCTTCAGTGTGAAATCACCAGGTGTATGAGGGACTATGTACAATCGGGCGTTTGTTTTTTTGTCTTGTTTTGTCTGTACACATATCTATATACACAAGCCGAATGAAAGGGAACCTCTTGTATTTTGCCTAATATAGGCTTGTACATACAGCGCCACACCTGCAGAACTCTTACAATGGGTAGCCAAAGCTACACCGGGGACTGAGACCACTTTGACTTTGAGTCAAAGTCTAACACACCTAATTTTGATGAAACAACACCTAATAATTAGACGACCGTGCTGCAGGTAGTACGATCGGCGAAGAAGGGACTTTAAAATGAGGCACAGTCATTTGAATGATGCTTCATTTCCCTTCTTCCGCCTCATTTTCGAGTCTTCTGGTGTCCTGTTATTGTTTATTGTTGCGATAATAAGCGTAACCGTACTTTTATTCGTAAAAGGAGAAGGAAAATCACAGAAAATCGTTCCCTGTTGACTCCAACTAGTGGAGCGTCTTGCGTTTTATTGCATCGGAAGCTGAGGGATGACGACTAATGAAGTATAAATAACTTTTAGGATTGACGAGATCAAATAAAAACAAAAAAGGCGAGACACAAGAAAGAAATAGGAAAGTTATGAATGGAGTGGAGAACATCTCGTAGTTGTTGTTTCCCTTTGGCTGCAACTATCAAACATTGCTACCCCTGAATCAAAAGCATTGCTCATCCTGGTCACTAAAACACACACATTTGACCACATCCTCACAGCCCCCTCCCCCACCCAAAGAAAAGACCGGAATGGGGAGAACGGCTAATAACAACCACAACACCAGTCAGGCCTGAGAGAGAGAGAGAGAGAGAGAGTGAGAGAGAGAGAGAGAGAGAGAGAGAGAAAGAGAGAAGGTCAAAAACAGCACTGAAACCAACAAAAAGGACAGAGAGGGAGAAGAAAGAGGTCAAAGGGAAAGGCGTAACGTCACAGGCCACAATTACCACCATACATACAGCAACAACTAGCAAGTAAAAAAAGTGACATTCTGTGAGAGAGTCTCTGGGACGGCCAATCAGAGTACACGGAACAGTCATGTGACAGGTGTAAGGGGTGGTCCCTGGCCGTTTGTGAAAGTGTAAGTGCTGAGGCAGGTAGGGAGTGTGTCCCCTGGTCCCGAGAGAACAGAGGAAGAGGGGGAGGAGGAGGAAGAAAAAGACAGAGACTGGACTGCCCTCATACTGCGAATTTGTATATGCGGCTACGTCTCAAATGGCTCCTTAATCCTATGTAGTGCACTACGTGGATCATCAAAGTATGGTTTCCACACCCAAATAGTGCATTACGCATTTAGCTGTCACTTAACTAGAGCCTAACACCTTGTACTGCCCCTCACTGTCCACTTTATTGGAAAAACCTACTTTGTACTTCCAATAACTGGCCACTTTATTGGAAACAACTACCTTCTACTTCTATTCACTGGCCACTTTATTAGAAACGTCAACCTTGTACTTTCATTCACAGGCCACTTTATTAGAAACACCTACCTTGTGCTTCCACTAACTGGCCACTTTATTAGAAACACCTACCTTGCTCTTCCACTAACTGGCCGCTTTATTAGAAACATTTACCTTGTACTTCCACTAACTGGCCACTTTATTAGAAACATCTACCTTGTACTTCCTCTAAGTGGCCACTTTATTAGAAACATCTACCTTGTACTTCCTCTAACTGGCCACTTTATTAGAAACATTTACCTTGTACTTCCACTAACTGGCCACTTTATTAGAAACATCTACCTTGTACTTCCTCTAAGTGGCCACTTTATTAGAAACATCTACCTTGTACTTCCTCTAACTGGCCACTTTATTAGAAACACCTACCTTATAGCTCCACTGTATGGACATACAAATACTGTAGCTCATCTGTTGCTGCACAGTTTATCAGTCCCCCTCTACTCCATTCATTATTGGCCAAATTCTGACCACAGAAATGAAGTTGTCCAGATGTATTTGGGTGGTGTGCCGAGAATGGACCACCACCCAAATACATCTGGACAACTTCATTTCTTCAAGTAAGGGTCTAAAACCCACCTCTGAATGCATTTTAACACCTGGAAAACAAATGATAAGCAAAACAAACTTGTAAAGTAAACTAGTGAAACACTATCACTGGCTAACAGAACTGTTTTCCCTTTGCTAATGGTAATGTTTATTTTTAATGCATGTAATCTGTTAATCAACAATCTACATTAATCTACTAATCTACATTTATCTGAGCTTTTTGGGGGACTTTCCAGCCATGCTAACTTTCGCTATATCTATGAGCTAAGAACAAGCTTGTTGACAATGTTTACGAGCGCACTATCGCCCTCTACTGTGAGCTCTACCTTCGCAAGGCTTGGGATTGTTGAGAAATTTTATACTTACTTTTTTCCCCACCCTAAAAAGTCTACATTTCCACCCAAATCTAGCCCAGCATTGCTCATGGTAGTCCCCATTCTCGTTACGAGATCACATCTTGCCCCAGGATACTACTGACATGGTAGTGTGTGTGGTGCTGGTACGAGTGTATCATCTGCTAGGTTGAGAGAGGACCACCACCTAAAATCTACCACTGATGAAGGACCAGAAGATGGAGAACACAAACTGCATCCACAGATGAGCTACAGTTATAACTGTACACCAGCAAGAGCGGGTTTCTGATAAAGTGGCCAGTGAGTGTACACCATGTGTAAATACTCCAGCAACACCGCTGCATCTGATACACTCGTGCCAGCACCACACACACTACCATGTCAGTGTTGCTGCTGTGCTGAGAATGGATCACCACCCAAATAACAACTGGACAACCGCATTCCTGTGGTCAGAAACTGACCAGTGATGAATGGGGTAGAGGGGGGCTGATAAACTGTGGTGCAACAGATGGACTACAGTCTGTAACTGTTGACCTGTAAGGTAGGTGGAACTCAAAATGGGCTGTGGAAGCTGTAGTTACATAGTGCACTCTGTAGGGAGTAGGGAGGAATTTGGGATTCAGCCTTTGTGCGTGTGCTTGGGGTGGGGGGTCCCCTACGTCATGCGAGTTAGTGCGTGTGGTGTTCAGTGCAGCTGTGGGCACAAAATCCTCTCTCTGGATCAATAAAACACAGACAGAGAGAGAGATTTACAGTAGAGACGGTTAAAAAGAGAGAGAGAGAGAGAGAGAGAGAGAGAGAGAGAGAGAGAAAGAGAGGTTGAGTGATAGAAGGTTTTGCTGTGGTGGGTAACGGGTGCAGGTGTGTCTCCACTCTTTCTTTCTCTCGTCCGGGTGTGTTAAGGGTCACTGGTGGGCAGAACTGAAAGGCATTTGTCCATTTTGCTGGCGGCTGCTGCCCCCTGCTGGCCATCAGCTGCTCAGGTAGCTATGCAGCTCCCTCGAAGTGATGCTGAGTACTACCCCCGAGTGGTTGCCTAGCAACATGAACAAAAAACAAAGGGGATTTGAGCTCAAGTTACACGGACTATTTTTGTTCTTACTTACAGTGAAGGCATTCCCAACAACAGCGTACAGTAGTTTAGCCCCTCCCATTCAGCATACAGTAGTTTAGCCCCACCCATTCAGCATACAGCAGTTTAGCCCCGCCCATTCAGCATACAGCAGTTTAGCACTGCCAATTCAGGCTTCAGCAGTTTAGCCACGCACATTCCCGTTGAAGTGATGTGGAGTGTTGTTCCTGCAGACAGTCTGTAGCAGAGTTACTGGAGTGGAAGATGCAGGAAAACGATTAAATGTTTAAATGGTTAAAAGTTTAAATGGTAAAAACAAGATTAAAAACTGCCAATCAGACCTAGCTGAGAACTACGTGGGCTTGGCCTAATATTCTAATGAGCATGTGTGATTGACAGCCCTCAGTCACAGACTTACAGCCTGCTACACCCCTGAAGCAGAACTAAACACAACAGTGTGAGTGTAGAAATGAGTGAATCGGGATCTACAGGCGGTGATGTAGGCCATCATCGCTGTGTCCACTCACTAAAAACATCATCCAGCTTTTATATGGAGACGCCTTAAAGACGGTCCTTATTCACTTCACTGCTGGATGTGCTGTTGGTCTGTCACACAACGACAGACAGAAGAGCGAGCTTGATAGCTCAGTTATGCTGGGTAGCTTTCGCTTGGTGGTTAACATAGAAAGACTGTTGGCAGAAGACAGTGTTGTTAAAGCTATGTGGGCGGGACAACTAACATCAGCCTTGTGATTGGTGAGGACAGCGCTTACATATGATCTAAGATTAGAACCACCCAGTTTACACCAAACATAGAGGACTTGGCAAAATACACTGGGCCTTTTTCCTGGGCACTGAACGGTTATTCACAGGACATATTCTGGAATATGAAAAACAATGAAAATATAATAACTAGAATAAAATAAACCATCTGGTTCTATTTCCAGATTGGGGCAGTCGTGGGCTGGAGGTTAGGGAACCAGCCTTGTGACCGGAAGGTTGCCGGTTTCATCCCCTGAGCTGACAGTACGTGACTGAAGTGCCCTTGAGCAAGGCACCTAACCCCCAACTGCTCTACGCGTGCTGTGGATAGGGCTGCCCACCACTCTGGGCAAGTGTGCTCACTAGTGTGTATGTGGTGTTTCACTGCATGGATGGGGTAAATGCAGAGGTGAAATGTCCCCATTGTGGGATTAATAAGGGTCACTTATAGAGAAAGATTTAGGTTCCTGGAGCTTTAAATCAAATGAAACTTGACTCCCATCCCATCCATATACACGTATACAGTGGAATAAATACATTCCTACTGCGCTTCCTTAGCCCTGCTGGTAAAGTCATAGAAACTATTAAAGGTTTCTGTTAGTGCCTGGTGGTGTCCAGTACTCCATAACGGTATTTACTGTTTTCCTGAAGGGTTGATATCACAGTGTAAAGCATTTTAATGGTTTAACTGGTGGTCGGGGACTGATTCCAGATGCATTTGATGGTTTCCTAATGAGATGTCTCTAACGGGAATCATTAAGCCAATTCCCACTAGAAAGCAAAATGTTGTAGCATTTTAATCCTGTTTTTCAGCAGGGATCAGTTTACAGGACAACACAGGACACGTGCTGAGTATTTCACTTAGAAATGTACCATCAGGTAAACACCATCTCTGTTTCAAACACACTGATTCAATCCATCAGAGCATTTAGTGAACCAGCCAAGACCAGGTGCAATTATTCTTAACCCTTGTGTGGTGTTGATGTGTTTGTTACTCAGTGGTCTGGTGGACCCACCGCATTATTGATTTTTTCAATCAGTACAGCCATAACAGGTTATGTTATGGGGGCAGTTGTAGGCTGAAGGTTAGGGAACCAGCCCTGTGACCGGAAGGTTGCCGGTTCGATCCCCTGAGCCGGCAGTACGTGATTGAAGTGCCCTTGAGCAAGGCACCGAACCCCCAACTGCTCCCCAGGGGCTGCGGATAGGGCTGCCCACCGCCCTGGGCAAGGGTCCTCACTGCCCCCTAGTGTGTGTGTGTGCTCACTAGTGTGTATGTGGTGTTTCACTGCATAGATGGGGTAAATGCGGAGGTGGAATTTTCCCGTTGTGGGACTAATAAGGGTCACTTAACTTAAAAATACCAGATGTTTAAAATATCACGAGTGCCCAGCGTAGGGTTCTCCTTTAGCAGCTGTAGCCAGTCAGCAGCCTGTCCATGTTGTCCACCCTCACACACACACACACACACACACATATATATATACAAACACACACACACTAACAGCAGGCCATGTAGGAGGCCATGTGTGGGGGGTGAACAGAGTGAAGACACTGAAAATGGGTTATTTTATATGTTCTTCACAGAAAATGAGCAAAGACCAAGAATCTGAGGTTGAAATAATAATAAACCGCATCATTTTTTCTTTGGGTCCCACAGACCTGAACACCACACAAGGGTTAAACACTGCAGTGAAAAGACAGCTTCAATGAATAAATGAAAATATCTTAATTAGTATTGTTTTCCAGCTATGATAACAAGCATTGTTTACAGAGCGCCTTCAGAAAGCAGTTCAAAAAACACAAATAAGATCAAATTAAATGTAACAGGTAGACTGCCAATCAAAAGTTTAGAAACACCTGACTGAATGCACAGTTGTGTGCAAATGTTTCGGCATCCCTGTTTTTGTGTTGTTGATTGTGAATAAGTGAACACATCCTCTACAGTGAACACAGTTCTGCACACTTTAATACACAATTAATGTTTATTTGCAGTAATTGAACAATTTAACATACTGGGGAAATGTGGCCTGTGCAACAGTTTGTATAATTTATGTTTTATTTTCTAATTTGTTAAACTCAGCAAATAAGTAGAAACTGTGCACTAAGATTTGCAGAAAAATGTTGTGTTTAGGTCGGTTCCCTGTGGATGATGTGTTAAGTTATAGTACTATACATATTTTGATTTGAAGGTTTATGTTTAAATGCTTGACACTGGATTCTAATAATATAAAAAAATAAAAAAGTTAAATAAATTTCAAGCCTATATAAAATATAAAATTTGTGTTTTGTTATTATCATATTTACTTTCAGTGGCCAGTGTGGTGTGACCACATGTGGCTACTGTAAAGAAAATCTAAACAAACTTGTTTTAACTTTTTTGGTCATTGCATTTCACAGACACTGATTCGGACAAAACTGCTGGGTTTAACCCTTACATGCTCTATTTAATCCAGGTTTAAGTGTAATCTGGGTCTAGAAAACCAGCCCCATATGTGTTATTTCACAGTTGTGTCTTCACTGTTGTTCTACATTAATTCTAAATGTGTACAATTGTAAATTCAGTAAAGCCTTTATGAGCGGGTGTGTCCAAACTTTTGACTGCCACTGTAGTTTCTGTGGTTAATAATGGTTGGTTAGTAATCAGGTTAGTCTAAAGTAAAGGAGATGTGCTTGTACCTCCGCCGTTACCTAGAGTCTGCGAGTCCAGGTCGTCGTCGATAAACTCCTCCCCCTGAATGATGTTTTGCGTGTCGTCGCTGTGATTGACGGGGCTGGTCATTTCCTGTTCCTTCTCGTTGTGCATCTGGGCGTAGACATTGCGGCCCGGCAGCTTTCTGAAACGCAGCCAGGGACGCGTTAGGCTGTCCTCCTCTGGTCTCAGCAAGGAACCATGGCTTTTGTAGTTTTTCCTGTTACAGTTTTGTAGTTCATGTTGTGTTATGTTTCATTACGATGCATCCAGAAAGCTGGATGTCAATGAGAAAGACGAGCGTGTGAGCATGCAGTTCTAATCTGGGGGTGGTGGGAGGCTGTAAATGTGGTTTTAGGAAGGATTTCAGGCAAAACAAATGTTTAAAATGGCTCGTACTTAAAACTCATACATGATCTGTGTTTGCGTGTGTATATTTCTATACAGTAATGGGGAAACAAGTACTCAGACACTTTGCTTTTGTTATATAATAAACCTCCAGTGCAGATATCTACTTCAGATTTACACACATGATGTATTTATGAGTACACATTCACAGTCAAACTAAAATTGATAGGGAATTTATAGGGAAAAGGTATTCAGATACCATAAATTGATAACATCTGTAGTTTGTTGCAAAGCTATTGGCATCTAAGGCAGGGGTCGGCAACGTGACCCTTTTACTTGCAGTAAAATAGAGCTCTGCTGGTTGTTATAACATAGTTTTAACAGTAAATGGTCTTAAACGCTGGAGTTAATGTAGAACTGCTAATTCACCCTTTAGTAGCTAACGAAACAGCAAAGAGAAAGATTTAAGTTGAACATCGATAATTTGGAGACTAATTTGCATTTATATTCACTCCAGCTGGTTTCCTGATACGTTTCATCTGCAACAAGAAGCTGTCAAACGCTAAAAAGTCACAAAGCTGAAGTCGCGTCTCGTTCGCCAGCTTCTTGTTCGAATTTTCCCGTTCCACCTTAAATGGTGCAGCAGTTACATTCTGGCGCCTCAGGCACCATTTAAGGCGGAACGGGAAAATTCAAACAAGAAGCTGGCGAGCGGGACACGACTTCAGCCTCGTAAAAAGTTGACGTTGAAAGACATTTTACAAGAAACTGCTCTACTTTCGTTTCCTGCCAGAGATGCGAGAAAAGCAGCTACAGCTGAGCTGAAGCTTAAAGCAGAGCCAAGTGAGTCTGTGTTTTCGTTTGTATTATGTTTTTTAGCCTATACTAGCACATCAGCGCATACTGAGACACATTTAGAGCCGATAATAAAATGGACATAAAACGTTGTGGCTCCCAAGACAGTTTGATTTTTGTTGAAAGGACAAAATGGCTCTTCTTAACATTTGGGTAGTGCCCCTGGACTGAGCAACTAAGTAATTAACTTGTTCCAGCACTGTGGCTCAACTTTGGCCCACTGTTCTTGGCAAACTGTCTTCAAAATCCTCCATACATTTTCAAAGGGACTCAAATCAGGTGATTGTCTTGGTCCTGTAAGCACCTTCACCTTTTTTTCAGAAACCAGTCTGTTATTTTGGCTGTATGATTGGAGTGGTGGTCATGTTGAAACGTCCATCTTCTCTTCAGATTGTTTCTTAGCCGATGAGACTAAGTTTGTAATTATCTGCGACGATTACCAGCCCATGATGTTTACGTCTTTAAATGTGGGGATGTTTTTCTTTAGATGTGGAGATTAAGGACATTGGAAGAGGCAGGTAGTTGTCTGTAGCAATAAATGCCAATACATGAAAACAATGCTTAGGTATGAATGATTGTCCTGACTTTCTGACTTATTCTGCAGCTTAATTTGGTATGAACTGGTACATGTGAGGATTTAGCTGCAATTCCCTATTTTACCATAGGGTGTCACCAATTCCTGCTCTCTCCCAAATGTCTTTTTATGACTCTTGTATGGGTCAAAGCTCCTGTAAATGGACTCCTGCCAAGTATTTCTTTATGAATCCCGGTTTCTGCATGAGATGTTTCATATGCACATTCCAGACCCGTCTTACTGTTTATAAATGAGGCCCCAGGTATGTTAATATAGGTGTCTGAATATGTCTTTCTTCTTTCAATTCCACTTTTAAACCTTTCTGTATCCATATGGAAAAAAATTTGGACATATATTTTTATATATTTGAAATGCATTTCAAATACATTGCAGTCCATACAGAAATACATTCCAAACACTAAAATTTATTTCAGAATATACTGCCATATTAACCAAATATATTTTAAAATGCATTTATTTTAAAATGTATGGGGAAATATTACACATAGAAATGTGTAATATCTGCAATAGTTGTTAACTACATACAAAAAATATAAAAACATTAAAATATATACCATATATAATAACAAAAAATACAATAACAAATATAAATAAGGGCATTTTAAAAATGTATTTAACAAAAAAAAATTTTTGGCCATTTTTACTCATTGCAAAAATATATTTGATAAACACATTTGGACAATACACTAAAAACGCATTTTAAGATATATTTAATAAATAATACATTTTTGGCCATTTTCATACACTCCAAAATATTTAAAAAATATATTTGAAATATATTTTTCCCATATGAGTAGGTATGTGTTCTATGAATGAATATATGAATGTGTTCTACTTATTAATATTTTTTTTGTATTCATATTCATAAGCACAAAATCAGAAGACATTAAGTGTGTAAGTCTGAAGTGAATATGTGCGCTGCAAGCAAAAACACAAATCAGTGTCTGAATACTTTCCCACGCTGTATTTTTGTGTGTCATGCATTACCAGATCCAAAAGGGGTTCAAAGGATAAAAGGCTGCAAGACAAAAACTGCAGAAACATTCACTGATAAACTCATCACTGAACGTTTGGTTTGGCCAGAGATCTAACGCACACAACCGGACACCGTTGTGTAGTTTGCTTTTGAAGTTTGCTTCTTTAGTTTCAGCACTGGAGCTACGAGGCTAATGTAGCTAATAAGAAGCCCTACCAATTAGCACGGTGCTAAGTAAATGTCTAAATCACTGTATGACACAGTGTTATCTATAAACACGGACTGAGTGACCACTGCTGTTATGGTTCTGTGTATTTTGTCCATGTTTATGGAGGACAGTGTGTCATACAGTGTCAGAAAGACGATCAGGCCTGATGCTAATCAATACTGTAAACTACACTGTAGCTCCAATTCTCAACTAAAGAACTCGAGTTAAAGCTCAGCTTCAGAGCAAAAGTGTCTAAACTTGGCCAAACTATTGCTTTAACAAATATTACAAATATTACAAATGTCAGAAACAGAACAGAACAGACTGTCTCTTGTATTTTTCAAAGGTCCAGGCATGTATAAACCAATATTGTATTCATTTCCAAATACGGTAATATCGCTGAGAAATGCAGTAATATTTTGCACTTAAAAATGCGATAAAAGCCAATTATGTAAAAACTGGCCCAAGAATGTACCAAACAGACTAAACTGATACTGTAATTTTTTGTAATGATAATGTAAAACTATTACATTATTGGGAATTTATAACATTTTCATGTTGATCATGTATAATACTTTATTACTTTATTGGGAATTTATCATATTTATTATATCATATATGTCATTTATCATGTATACAAGTTGATCATTTGATATGATACTTTGTCTGATATTGTAATGTAATGTTAATTTTTAGTCCATATTCTACATTTTGCAGAATGCAGAAAAGCACAGTAGGAGGCCACTGGGGCGTGCTTTTAAAAGATAGATAGATAGATAGATAGATAGATAGACAGATGGACAGATGGACAGATGGACAGATGGATAGACAGATTGATAGACAGACAGATCGCTAGATAGACAGATACATAGACAGATAGATAGACAGATAGACAGACAGATGGACAGATAGGCCGATAGATAGACAGATTGATAGACAGACAGATAGATAGATAGACAGATATAGATTGACAGATAGACAGACAGACATACAGATAGGCCGATAGATAGACAGATAGATAGACAGACAGACAGATGGATAGATAGAGATAGACAGATATAGATTGACAGATAGACAGATAGACCAATAGATAGATAGATAGATAGATAGATAGATAGATAGACATACAGACAAATAGAAGTAGATAGACAGACACACAGATAAATAGATCCGTTTTGGATGAATTAGTTTCACCCTTTAAAACAATAATAAGATCAACTTGTAAATATGATAAATTCCAAATCTTATCATAATAAAATATTACCTCACTACTAAAATAGTATGATATTATCAGTTTAGGCACTTTATTACATTATTAGGCAAATTATTACATTATTTTTGACCAAGTTCGGTGCAAAATATAGTTACATTTCTGGGCAATAATACATTATTACATTATAACATCATAACATACTGTGTTTAATTCTAGAAATGAAAGCTAGGGGAAGTGAAATCCTGCAGGCAGAACAAAAAGAGTTTAAAGAGTGCAGCTGACGTAAGGCTTTAACATCAAAACGTACCTTTTGAACTTGTAGAGGAGGAAGACTCCAGTAGAGAGGAAGGTGACCAGCAGAATTCCAGCTAAAGCCCAAACTCCTGGACTTCCAGCTCCAGAGTTATAGCCTGTGGTCAGAGAGAGAGTACAAACACAAACACCTGTGTTACCTGTATTGGTTGGCAAAGACAGTCGCAAAATGTTTTACATTAAACATTTTATGTGAAATAAACTCAGCAAAAACAGAAGCCTGTAGAGGACGTGTTTACTTATTTGTCTTTAGACGATCCCCTATCTATATCAGGCATGTCAAATTGAGGACTTTCCAGGCCAAAGTGCTGCGGAGATCAGCCGTCACCCTCATCTAGCACTGAATTCAGTTCATAAAGGCCTTGTTAATTACCTGAAGTGCTGAATCAGGTGTGTTTAATGAGGCACTGAGCTGATGCCTGCAGTGCTTTGGCCCACGGTGACTGGAGCCTGACACATGTGATCTATATGTAATAATAATATGTCCCCTATTAATCATGCACAGTACCTGTAAGGACCTAAACTAAAAACATACAAAAATTAATAAACAATAATAATAATTTTCATATGTATCTTATATATAAGTGCCTCCATGTAAACAACAATAATATGTACTATATGTATTGTATACAGTACATACAGTGAATAAGTGAACACTTCCTCTACAGAGAACCGGTCAGGCATAACATTCTGACCACCTCCTTGTTTCTACGCTCATTGTCCATTTTATCAGCTCCACTTACTATATAGGTGCACTTTGTAGTTCTACAGTTACAGACTGTAGTCCATCTGTTTCTCTGATACTTTGTTAGCCCCCTTTTACCCTGTTCTTCAGTGGTCAGGACCCCCATGGACCCTCACAGAGCAGGTAGTATTTGGGTGGTGGATCATTCTCAGCACTGCAGTAACACTGACGTGGTGGTGGTGTGTTAGTGTGTGTTGTGCTGGTCTGAGTGGATCAGACACAGCAGCGCTGCTGGAGTTTTTAAACACCTCAGAGTCACTGCTGGACTGAGAATAGTCCACCAACCAAAAATACCCAGCCAACAGCGTCCTGTGGGCAGCGTCCTGTGACCACTGATGAAGGACTAGAGGATGACCAACACAAACTGTGCAGCAGCAGATGAGCTATCGTCTCTGACTTTACATCTACAAGGTGGACTGACAAGGTAGGAGTGTCTAATAGAGTGGACAGTGAGTGGACACAGTGTTTAAAACTCCAGCAGCACTGCTGCGTCTGATCCACTCACACCAGCACAACACACACTAACACACCACCACCACATCAGTGTTACTGCAGTACTGAGAATGATCCACCACCCAAATAGTACCTGCTCTGTGAGGGTCCATGGGGGTCCTGACCACTGAAGAACAGGGTAAAAGGGGGCTAACAAAGTATCAGAGAAACAGATGGACTACAGTCTGTAACTGTAGAACTACAAAGTGCTCCTATATAGTAAGTGGAGCTGATAAAATGGACAGTGAGCGTAGAAACAAGGAGAAAATGTTCTCTGTATTTCTGTCCTGAAAATGTATGAAAACAAACACACACAAATCATAGTCACACAAACCACACACACCACACAGATGTATCTGTGTATCACAGCAAACAATCTGTTTTTCAGCATCTGCTCCATGCGAATGCTAGCACACGTTATTAGCAATTCACACAGAAACACAAACACGATGAACTGAGTTTCTTCAGAAGAAGCCACACTTTCATTAAGAACCAGCGCCTGAGTTCAGTCCTTTGTGCAAAGTAACACTGTGTAATCCCCCAGATTCATTTAGTAATAACTGAAAAGTGATCAGCAAACAGTGTACATGCTAACTACGCTACTCATTCAGAAACATTAATTTAATACTTTAATACAATAAACTGTACAGCTAATAAGCTGCACAGCAGGAATGGTTAGTTTGAAATGGATGACGTTTTATGGAAAATGTCCTCGGGCTGACCATCTGCTGGCCTGTCTGTGTCATAATAACACTGCTCAGTTATTCCACATTTGGATTTATTCTACCTGTCGAAATGAGGGAAAATCAATATACAATGAGAATTCATGTATAACCTTTCAGCTCAGTTTCCAAGCCTCTATAAAATTTGAGAGTGTAGCCTCACCAGACTAGACCTCCGGAGAAACAGCAGCATGATAAAGCCCTTATTATCATTCAGTTATCTTAAGATACATTATTAAAATTACCATGAATTATTCAGTAATGACTTTATATTATTCAGTATGTGCAACGAATTATCCAGTACTTACTATGAATTATTCAGTATCTACTATGAATTATTCAGTAACTACTATGAATTATACAGTATCTACTATGAATTATTCAGTATCTGCTGTGAATTATTCAGTATCTACTATGGATTATTCAGTAACTACTATGAATTATTCAGTATCTACTATGAAGTATTCAGTATCTGCTGTGAATTATTCAGTATCTACTATGGATTATTCAGTATCTACTATGAATTATTCAGTATCTACTATGGATTATTCAGTATCTACTATGAATTATTCAGTATCTGCTGTGAATTATTCAGTATCTACTATGAATTATTCAGTATCTACTATGAATTATTCAGTATCTGTTGTGAATTATTCAGTATCTACTATGGATTATTCAGTAACTACAATGAATTATTCAGTATCTACTATGAAATATTCAGTATCTGCTGTGAATTATTCAGTATCTACTATGGATTATGCAGTATCTACTATGAATTATTCAGTATCTCCTGTGAATTATTCAGTATCTACTATGAATTATTCAGTATCTGCTGTGAATTATTCAGTATCTACTATGGATTATTCAGTATCTACTATGAATTATTCAGTATCTGCTGTGAATTATTCAGTATCTACTATGAATTATTCAGTATTTACTATGAATTATTCAGTATCTGCTGTGAATTATTCAGTATCTACTATGAATTATTCAGTATCTGCTGTGAATTATTCAGTATCTACTATGAATTATTCAGTATCTGCTGTGAATTATTCAGTATCTACTATGGATTATTCAGTAACTGCAATGAATTATTCAGTAACTACAATGAATTATTCAGTATCTACTATGAATAATCAGAACCTTCTATGAATATTCAGTACCTACTATGAATTATTCAGTAACTGCTATGAATTATTCAGTAACTACTATTAACTATTCAGTAACTTCTATGAAGTATTCAGTATCTTCTCTGAATTATTCAGCGTCCACCATGAATAATTCAGTAACTACTATGAGTTATTCAGTATCTACTACAAATAATCAGTATCTACTGTAATTTAAGTACTAACTTTGAATTATACAATAGCTACTAAGAACTGTTCTGTATCTGCTATGAATTATTCAGGAACTAAATTGTGCAGTATCCACTATGAATTATTCAACATCCACTATGAATTATTCAGTATCTACTATGAAACTAATGTGAAAGTTCTGTAGTTACGGGAGAGAGGAACTACAGTGAGGAGCTTTTTAGAGTTTAAATTCTCATGTAGGGTTAAAAACACCAGAACAAAACAATCACAGAGCCCTGACAATACATGATTTACTGCCTGATGTGCAGAACCAATCAGACCTGTTCCATCTGGTTTCCCAGTGAAACTGTCCCGAATCCACACATCATTACAGAGGGTCTGATAGTCACGGCTGGTGCCAATTCCACTCCATTTCCTCTCATTTCAGTTTACACAACATAGCCAAAATTAATCAGCTGCTATCCTTTGTGTTTGTATCCTTTCCTACTGCCATGCAAGCCTGACTCAAGCACTGGTACCGTTAATTTAACCCCATTAAAGCTGCACAGAGGAGAGCAAACCGCATGAAAAGTCTGGAAATAGAGAGAAGACACTCGTGAAGCGAGAGACCCACCGCTCTCCGGTGCTCTGGAGGATGAGTCACTAGTTATGAGCCCTTAAAAATACACCAGTACAAATTTATCTCTCCAGTCACTGAGTTTCGTTTTGGTCCAAGGTCCCTACTTTAGTACTTTATAAAACACATATAAAATGAGTATTTACAGTACATACACGTCATATGAAGACACATCTGAACATTGATAATGACGATGATAAAAGCCTAGTGTTAGGTAGCAGGGCAAGTACTGTACATTACAGTTAGTGTAGTGGGGTTAATGTAGTAGTCTAAGTGTAGCAGGGTTAGTGTAGTAGAGTTAGTGTAGCAGGGTTAGTGTAGTGGGGTAAGTGTAGTAGGGTAAGCGTAGTAGGGTTAGTGTAGTAGAGTTAGTGTAGTAGAGTTAGTGTAGTAGGATTAATGTAGTAGGGTAAGTGTAGTAGAGTTAGTGTAGCAGGGTTAGTGTAGTAGAGTTAGTGTAGCAGGGTTAGTGTAGTAGGGTAAGTGTAGTAGAGTTAGTGTAGCAGGGTTAGTGTAGTAGGGTAAGTGTAGTAGGGTTAGTGTAGTAGAGTTAGTGTAGCAGGGTTTGTGTAGTGGGGTAAGTGTAGTAGAGTTAGTGTAGCAGGGTTAGTGTAGTGGGGTAAGTGTAGTAGGGTTAATGTAGTAGGGTAAGTGTAGTAGGGTTAGTGTAGTAGAGTTAGTGTAGCAGGGTTTGTGTAGTGGGGTAAGTGTAGTAGGGTTAATGTAGTAGGGTAAGTAGTAGGGTTAGTGTAGTAGGGTTAGTCTAGCAGTGTTAGTGTAGTAGATGAAGTGTAGTATGGTTAGTGTAGTAGAGGAAGTGTAGTCGGGTTAGTGTAGCAGGGTTAGTGTAGTGGGGTAAGTGTAGTAGGGTTAATGTAGTAGGGTAAGTTGTAGGGTTAGTGTAGTAGGGTTAATGTAGTAGGGTTAGTGTAGCAGGGTTAGTGTAGTAGAGTTAATGTAGTAGGGTAAGTTGTAGGGTTAGTGTAGTAGGGTTAATGTAGTAGGGTTAGTGTAGCAGGGTTAGTGTAGTAGAGTTAATGTAGTAGGGTAAGTAGTAGGGTTAGTGTAGTAGGGTTAGTCTAGCAGTGTTAGTGTAGTAGCGTTAGTGTAGTATGGTTAGTGTAGTAGCGTTAGTGTAGTAGAGGAAGTGTAGTCGGGTTAGTGTAGCAGGGTTAGAGCAGTAGGGTTAGTCTAGCAGTGTTAGTATAGTGGATGAAATGTAGTAGGGTTAGTGTAGTTGGGTTAGTGTGGTAGGGTTAGTGTAGTTGGGTTAGTGTAGTAGGGTTAGTGTAGTAGAGCAAGTGTAGTATGGTTAGTGTAGTTGGGAAACTGCAGTAGAGCAAGTGTAATAGGATTTGTGTAGTAATTGAAGTGTAGTAGAATTTCTATAGTAGGGGAGTGTAGCACGGTTAGTGTAGTAGAAGAATTGCAGTAGAGGAAATGTAGGATTACTGTAGTAGGGTTAGTGTAGTGCAGTTAGTGAATCAGGGTTAGTGTAGTAGGGTAAGTGTAGTAGAGGAAGTGCAGTATGGTTAGTGTAGTAATTGAAGTGTAGAATTTCTATAGTAGGGTAGTGTAGCATGGTTAGTCTAGCAGTGTTAGTGTAGTAGAGGAAGTGTAGTATGGTTAGTGTAGTAATTGAAGGGTAGAGTAGCACGGTTAGTGTAGTAGAAGAATTGTAGTAGAGGAAATGTAGGATTACTGTAGTAGGGTTCGTGTAACTGTAGTAGGGTTCGTGTAACTGTAGTAGGGTTCGTGTAACTGTAGTATGGTTCGTGTAGTGCAGTAAGTGAATCAGGGTTAGTGCAGTAGGATTTCTGTAGCAGAGTTAGCGTAGCAGGGTTAGTGTAGTATGGGAAGTATCGTAGGGTTACTGTGGTGTTACTACAGCATGGTTGGTGAAGGGAAGTGTAGGGGAGGTGTAGTGAGGTTAGCGCAATAGGTCTAGGTTTAAGGGAGTAGGTATAGTTACTGTTAGGGTGGTAGAGGTTAGTGTAGTAGGGCTAGTGACTGTGTAGCAGGTATGGCCAGTGCTAGAACAGTATGAGAGGCGTAGTAGGGGATCATTTCCATAGTTAGTGGAGTATGGCCAGTTCTAGAGCTGTAGGAGAAGCGTAGTAGGGTTAGTGTAGTGGGGTTAAGGCTAGAGCAGTAGGAAAAGCATGGGTGGGGTAAATGTTGCGTAGTTACTGTAGCATGTGTAGTGATAGAACAACAGTAGGATTAGTTTATTAGTTAGTGTAGTAGGGGTTAAGTTCATGGTATTATGGTTAGTGTAGCAGGGATGCGGTTACTGTGCTATGGTTAGTGTAGTAGGGTTAGTGTTTGGGCATTATGGTTAGCATAAATAAGTTAGTGTTAGGGTATTAAGGTTAGTGTGTGATAGTGTAGCAGTGCCAGTGTCAGGGTAGTACAGGTGTAGTAGTGTAATGTGCAGATCAGTAAAATGTTTGCATTACCTGCATCTGGGTCTGCCAGAGTCAGCAGCACTCTCAGCCCTCCTCTCACAATAAAACTCACATTATTCTCTCTCAGAGCCTGCTTTATGGTGGACACACGCTGGACGAGAGAAAAACACAATCACAGCATTACTGCATTTACTGCACTTAGACCAATAATTAAAACTGCAAAGATGTCAATAACCCGAAATCTATTCATTGTAACATTATGGGATGAATCAGATCAGGGGTGTCCAAACTTTTTCCAAAGAGGGCCAGTTTGTACTGTGTCAAAATGCCTGAGGGCCAAAATAATATCCACAAATAATTCAAAATATTGAGTTTTCAAGGTTCAGTGCAAAGAGTTGGAGCTCTCTATGTGCTGCAGTGTTTCCTATCACTCTATAAAAGATGCATGAGGCTTCTTTCATTGTGAGATCGCTCAAAGCAATTAGGGAAAGGCAAGAGCTTTTGACCAATAATTAATAATCCTAATTAATAATTAATAATTAAATTCCTAATCATTCCGAATACTTGTTTGAAAATATCATTTAGGAGACAAACTAACATCTATACATCCTCAGTTTTGTTAGATAATTCTCATTAAATATCAAACACACGCAGCAGCCGCACTTAAATCACTTTATTAAACTAGCAGAGCAGATTAAACAGCAGTGCTTTACTTTATCTGCCCTCTCCTGAATATGCACTGTAATGTTCATGCTTTGTTTCATAGACATAGAATTCATTTTCTGTGGCTCTCGATGGAAAAAGTATTCAAATTTCCGTCTCACCAGAGTCCCCAGTTCTCAGTGTTAGGTTTGTCCTTTATGGCTGTAGTCTTGACTAAATGTCGTTCAGGAAATGAAGCTGCAGGTCTAGTCAGAGAAGAAAGGCCCATAAACCTAAGCTAACTTCATTACCACAGTGCTGCGCATTACACTGTCATTTTATGGTGCTGCTGCCACCATCAGGTGAAAGGAAAAACTGCAGTGTACTGGTTGGTGGGCCACATATAACACACTCTAAAACAGAAGCCAGGGGCCAATTAAAATCTGTCTGTGGGCCGTGTTCGGCCCTGGGGCTGGTCTTTGGACACCCTTGAACTAGATCGTTGAAACACAAAATACAGTCATGGTTAGATTATCAAACCATGTAAAATGATTCAGAATTACGTACAAATCAGTATGTATAAAACTACAATAATCAATATTCAATATACAGTATTCAGAGACAGGCAGCACAAGACTGCACCAGTCACTGTCCCAATATATTTGAAAGTAACAGCCAATCACAGTAAAATCCAACAATTCTATTATTTGACGAGAAGTTTATCCTGTTTCTCCCAGAATGCACCAACTGTACAGCAATCTGCTGCATTTAAGGCATACAGTAGTTTACTGCGGTGCTTCCACTGTAAACCTACATCAGTTCTTTACAGCGTAAATGCATTTATGATGAACAGAGATCTTCTGTCCGTTGGAAAGCTTGATGTGTGAGTGTGTGTTAGTGTATGAGTGTGAGAAAGTGTGTGCACCTTATCTACAAACACGCTCCTCTTGGCTGGCACGCCCTCTGGTGGCAGAACGTAGAGCTGCGCTGTGGTTGGGAGTCCAGGTTTCACCATGGTGACCAGAGAGTCCTGAGGAACTCCTGTAACCTGGAGAAAATATAAACAAAGAGCAGCTTCAAGCAGTTTCTACACACAAACCTCAGAGCACACAAAAGCTATGAATGTGTTAAACTGGCCGGCTCTGGCCTTTTACAGGCCCTAAGGAGGATCTTTTAGGGGGTCTTTCCCATTTTGCTCCCTAATCCACTGTAAAATTAGAGGTAAACTATAACAATGACTGCATATGCTACCTCACCATGCAGAGGAAGGCCCAATCCCATTTCACCCCACGCCCCTACCACTTAGCCCCACCCCTCTGTTTTGCCTGTTCATGTCTAGCGTTAGGGTGTCCCGATGCTTGTTGTGATAGAGGGGTGGGGTGAAGTGTTCGGGCTACATGACCCTCCAAATGGAGATTTTTCAGAGACTCCAAACAGAGAGTTATGAGAAAAAAGAAAAACCAGCAAGATGGAGAACAGGAGACCAGAGAAACTGTTAAAAAATTACAATGACCACTGTATTATCTTAGTTTAAGGTCAGTGTATTATGGTCCTTTTTTGCTGATGTCTCAGTAGCTAGCTTAGCTAAATTTCCCGTTCCACCTTAAATGGTGCAGCAATGACATTCTGGCACCTCAGGCATCAGAACTGCTGGACCATTTAAGCTGGAATGGAAAAATTCAAACAAGAAGCTGGTGAATATCTGACTTCAGCTTCACATCACTGAAGAATTAGGGGTGGGTGATAATAAATAATCGCCCCCCTCTTTGAAGTCATATGATGCCCTAAATGTAACTAAAGCCCAGCAGTGAGGAGCTGAACTTTACCCTCCTCTGCTGTCACTGCAGACTGGCAGGGTCGCCTACAGAGCAGCGCTGGTAGCTGTTAATGAAGTAATGCTCTTTTATTTGAGGGTCCCATTTCAGAGGGAAGATTTCAACCACTACCCCTTGTAACTCAGTTCCAAGGGGCAAGGTGACACTTGGGTAGGGGTACAAATAAGAAATAGGTTTGTTCCAAAGTTGTTAAAACAAGTTAACTGCATCTGTGTTTGTGTGGTGTTGTGAAGCTGAAACTCACTCAGATGACTTTTATGCTTTTTTTTCCCCCTAAAATATTTAAAATATTGAAAAAAACAAATAAAATCTTTTGTTGTCCAATTATTCTTCACTGCATATGCTACTGTTTTACAGAAAATAGAAGGAAAATAATAATACAGTGTATTAATAGTACAAATAGTGCTACTGTGTGTGTGTGTGTGTGTGTGTGTGTGTGTGTGTGTGTGTGTGTGTGTGTGTGTGAGACACCTTGGCTAATATTTTGGTGACCACTCTGCCCACATCCTCTCTCCACTCCGGGATGTTTGGGTTGAATCGGTCCAGATTCGGACTGAAGCTCAGAGGAATGACCTGAAAACGATCTGAGACAAAAAAAAGAGAAGGGTCAAAGGTCATAGAAGAATAAAGAACACCATATAACGCTGCATTGTGAGTGAATCACCACAAACATCCGTATATCAATCAGTATTAAACTGACAGATTGAGTTGTGATGAACCAAATCATTTCTTATGATGTTTTAACCACATAACTACTAGTGACTATTTCTAGTCTGAGTGCACTCCTGATTGGCTTGTCTATCTTTTACATTGCAAGATGTGCACAAAAGCGAAAACAGTATTATTGTAATTATATGCAGTTGCATGCAGACGTTTGGGTGCCCCAGGCCAAATTCCACGTTTTGTTCATTTTCTAAGTGAAAATATGTGAACTCTTCCGCTCCAGATGTGCCTTCAATACACAGTTACTGGTTGTTTACTAAGTTTTACATACTGAAAAACAAAATAAAGCATAAAAGTTGTGGTACATTTAATATTTTATGTTTTTCTCTCCAACATTAACCTCTTATTGACCAGGGTATATTTTGGTTTGTCCATCTGAATTCACGTGGTCAAATCATAAGGCGAATTATTCAGTAACTGCATGAAATAAATGTAAATTTTTATTTTATTTATTTTTTGTGAAAGCTCCCCTCAAATGAACAGAACATGTGTTTTATGATCACACATATTGCTATATGCTTACAATTTACTGCTGAAAGCCAAAAATCTTAGACGCTCTTTGTATTATTTTATAAAAGTAATTTTTACAGTGCAGATCACTGAAGAGACGCCATCTGTTTATAGTTTATAGCCCAGATTTGTGGGAAAAATGGGTCGACTTTCAGTTGTTCAGCTTCTTTTATTGTAAGGGTTTAAAATTACATCACCCATCTATTCGACTGGAAAGAAGACAGTTACAGCTCTCATACGACCCCCACCTTTAGAATGTAGCTCATGAAATATGAAAGTTACGAAGAATATGACGACGTGCGTTTTGGAACCACCGGTGGTCTCAAGGAGTTGAAGAGGTTAAACTAATTTGCACTACAATTTACAGAGAAATATCATAATTAAGAGTGTTCTCTGCAGAGGACATGTCAACTTATTGTCAACCTTACATTGCATACAACCGTACATCTCAAAATTTGCTAACATTTTTTGGACAAGATAAAACACACATATACACACTCTGCAAAAAATACTTGGTGCATTATTTTATTCTTCTGGCTGCCTTATAATTTAGGTTAACAGAACAACAATCTGTGTTTTACGTTTCGTGACCTTATTATTTGAAGTTTTTTTACATTTACGTAGATTTTTCTAAATCAAAGCACCACTTTTTACAGCATGTATTGTCTTTTACTGTCTATGAGCCTGTTTACTCCTTGCATTAACACATTTTAAGTCATTTTGAGTTGATCTGGATAAACATCGGCCTGACTGTATTTATACTTTTCACTAAAATTTGTCCCCAGACATCCTGTGGTAAAGTGTGTCCCTTGACTCGGCAGTATGCCGTAGTGGGGGGCACGATCTATGGGTAGTTAGTCTGAGGACCTGGAAAAAGTTGGGCTTTCACAAGAGTTCTTCTTCTTCCCGTCACCTTTATGTACAAACCAACGTTCACAGCTATTTACATATGTACAAGCGCACACACTCAAAGCGGAAACAAAACGAGAGATAACAGTCTCCACCACTAGAGGACATAGATCAATGACAAAGTCATACAGATCATAACCACTCATTACCATTCAGTCAACTACTGAGCTGAAAGAATCCCCCAGTACACCCAGTAATGCTGCTTATATATGGGTCGCTCCTCCCTTAGAGTAAACCATTACTGACCTGGGTAAAACAAGAGTACTGAATATTTAAATATATTTACATGCAACAGTAATTATAATTCATATTCTCCACTTACCGTCCATATTCACATCATGACGTCATTAACATTTGCAATTACAGTGTACGCTTATTAACAATTTTCTCTCTTACAGGTTCTGTTCCTTCCTCCTCTTCTACAGAGGATGGACTCACCCAGGTAAGTAAAACTCAGGAGAACCCACTCAGTTCTCTTTTCAGTCCTTAGAGACAAGGATGATCAGTCCACATGTAAGTATAGGTCAGTATATACAATAGTCTTTACTTTGTGACGTGTAAGGAGTACCGTATATCATCACAGATCTGACTGTACGCTTCCCTCACAAAAAGCACATCAGCACTGAACCTGTTTCTGTTTTACTCTTTTCCCCAGTTACGATACGAATGAACAAGCTTGGCTTGGACGCTTTTGTCGGCCCAAGAAGGCTCCTTGTTTGGGGAATTTCAGCTCCGTCTTTCGCTTCACTGTTTATCCTCTCACCTGTTAGTCAGCGCTTGGCGGATGAAGTTCCACTCACGTAATTGTGTACAGATAATGAAAACACAACCTGCTTACATTTAAGTGTGGTTAAGATTCCTCTCTGACCACCTCTGAATGTGGTTTGAGAGATCAGACTGTAATACAGGCACAAAGCGTCCTGGGGATTCAGTGAATCAGTGGTCACCAATCTTATCTGCAGGGAGCAGATTGGCACCTAGATAGGCTGGTAGGCCTGTCACAGAATCGCCTAACTGCAATTATTTGAGCTGTCTGCCATCATTTTATCCACAGCCAGTAGATTCTACAGCCTGGGTGCCTTCTAACATGGTGCTTTAACGTGTTTAGAGAGCAGCGCTGAGTAATGTTTGTTTATTTATTAGCTATGTAGCTTATTCTAAAGATTTTAGTGTGCATGTTGGCAGAATTAGTGTTTTTCTGTCTTATATTTTTACTCGTTTTGCTGAGTTTGACACATAATTCTGTGTAACAGTATTGATTTCACAACTGGTGTTAGCTGCTTAGCAAATACAGCTAACAAGTAAGGTGGCCAATCAGCCAGCTTGGCCACTTTAGGCTTGGGGTTTAAAGGCTGTAAACAGTGAATAAGAACAGACAATTTATATGACAGTGGGTAGCTCTGTCGCCTCACAGCAAGAAGGGCCTGGGTTCAATTCCCCGGCCGGGCGACCAGGGTCCTTTCTGTGGGGAGTCTACATGTTCTCCCTGCATCTGTGTGGGTTTCCTCCCACAGTCCAAAGACATGCAGTCAGGCCGACTGGAAGCTCACCTGATTCCACTTGTTTGATCAACTGGTCTCAAAGACCTGATTAGTTATATGAGGTGAGCTGCTGCTTGGTTGGAACGAAAACCTGCAGCCACACCAGCCATCTGTGGACACGACTGGAGACCCAGAAATTTGAGATGCACTGAGTCATAATCAAATGGTAATAATCAAATCACTGTGAGGTCTGTGAGAATTTTTTTTTTTTTTTGTAATTTTTTACTAATGTTCATATGTAATTCTGTATATGATAGCTTTTATACTATATTTTATAGCACAGGGGTGAGGTCAGCAACCCAAAAGTTAAGAAGAGCCGTTTTGTCCTTTCTAAAAAAATTAAACCACCTTGAGAGCCTCAACATTTTATGTCCATTTTTACATGTTGGCTCTAAATATGACTCAGTATGTGCTGATGTCCTCGTATAAAACAGATATAATATAAAATGTAGACATACTTTGCTTTAAGCTTTAGCTCAGCTATAGCTGCTTTTCTCGCTTCGCTGGTAGGAGAACAGTTTCTTGTAAAATGTCTCTCAATGTTCGACTTTTTACGAGGCTGAAGTCGCTTCTCACTCGTCAGCTTCAAGTTTGAATTTTTCCGTTCCGCCTTAAATGGTGCCTGAGGTGCCAGAATGTAACCGCTGTACCATTTAAGGTGGAACGGGACAATTCGAACGAGAAGCTGGCGAATGAGAAGCGACTTCAGCCTCGCAACTTTTTAGTGTTTGTCAGTTTCTCGTTGCAGATTAAACGTATCAGGAAACCAGCTGGAGTGAATATAAATGCAGATAAGTCCATTCGTCTCCAAATTATCAATGTTCATCTTAAATCTTTCTCTTTGCCGTTTCGTTAGCTACCAGCTAGGCGAGACTGTTGTCTGCGTTACTATGGTGACCAGCAGTTTGCGCTGATCTTCAGGTTTAAAGGGTGAATTAGCAGTTCTACATTAACTCCAGCGTTTAAGACCATTTATTGTTAAACTGTGTTGAACGATCAGCAGAGCTTTATTTTACTGTAAAGGAGGATTATTTTATTTTATTTTATTTTTTATTATATTTTATTTTTACACAAGAATCTAATTCTGTTGTGGAGCCACTACAGGGCAGTAAAAGAGCCGCATGTTGTCGACCCCTGGTTTAGTATGTCATACATGTGACTCACTAAGATGTATTTTGATTCTGCACCCCTAAATATGCAGCGCACTGAAGTAAATCTGAAAAGTTCGTGAGAAAAAGTCTTGGCACCCCTGGTCAAATGGTCAATATTCTAAGTGAAAATAAGTGAACACGTCCTCTACAGAGACGCACTTAAATGTGGTCATAAAGAGGTCATAAATGTGGTACAATATCAGTAAGAAGATGAAAAATATTGGGTTATTCAGTAACGTATCTTTGCAATGGAGAAAGCCCACTGAACCTGAGGACCACCTTATCAACAAAAATAAATAAATAAATAAATCGCCAGAAAGTGCCGTAGTCTTTCTGAAATATCTCGGCCGCCTCATGCTTCTGCCCTCTGCAGTAAACTCTCCATCTTGCTAAATAATAAATCCAACACGTCTATGTTTGGGCGAGTTCAGGTGCTCCGAAATGACCGGCTGACACATTTTACCACAGCGGCGCTCTGCGCCCTCGCTCAGAAACTTCACACGACCTCTCTGTGAGAGTGTTTGTGGATGAGATCACCTCTCCTGCTTTGAGAAGCATGACTTCATCCTATCCCATCACGCTCCAGCATTCTAGACAAATTGCATGAATATTTAAACCCGGTTTGAAGCAGCTGTCTGGACTCAGAACGCTGAGGCAGCACCGCAGACCCGCATGCTCCCTTCTGCATTTAGCATAAATCACATCTAAAGGTGGCCATTCAGCTGCAAAGATTTAGGAATGTTATAACCA